TGGAAAAAAATGCATCGATAAAGCTGGCAAGTATTTTGAAGGGGATAGGTTATGACTTGGTAAGCTTTTAAGCATTTGAATAGAGCAACAAATTTTTAACTTAAATCCTGGGTTTTTCTTAAGTTGTATCTAAATTTGTCTTGAAATAAAGACAAAAATCGCAACTCGAGTTTGACTTTCCTTCATTCCAAAGCGTGTAGTTTCCTTACCAATACGAATTTTTGCATTCTGTAAAAACAAGCATCTTCAGTAGCTTATTAGCTTTGAAACAAGCCCCAGAAAACATCATTACGACGCTTGGTTCGTCTTCTATGACAAAAGTCCGGTTTCTTTTGGGACAGCCCTCGTACTTTTTCTTTCGTAAAATGTTTTGAGAAACACGATGGTGCAACTGGTTATCTTTGAAACAAACTTCCAAACTCAAAAAGAGCTCTCAAAGTTGTGGCTGTAATGAAGGAGTCTGCATACGAAGTCTACTTCTATGTCCAGTCAAACCTTCCATGCGCAGATACAGCAAATTTGTCGTGCAAGAATTTCAAGGAATGGAAGAAAGCCCCCCTAAAAAACGCATTTATCAAGTTACTAATGTTGGTAAACAGGGCGTCTAGCATCAAGATTTTCCCGTTTCTATCAGGATTTGAGGCCAATCAGGATTTAATTCTGATTTCATCAGGATTTGAGGAAAAAGCGGTCGTAAAATCAGGATTTTAGAAAAGTCGGCCGCCTGATCGGATTTTTTTATCGAGCTATTTTTTCATTGATTCGCACTTGTTTTTAATCCTTAGAACCTAATTTTAGAGTTCTGCTTTCGCATATGCTTTTGCAGAAGTTTCAATTTTTCTCCGCAAAATCCGTATTTGATCAGGATTTGGAAAAATTATGAAATCAGGATTTGTCATTCAAAAAGCAGGAAAAATTACGCTTTTGCAGAAATTTTAATTTTTCTCCGCAAAAAAATCAGGATTTTGAAAAATCATGAAATCAGGATTTAGCAGTCAAAAATCAGGAAAAATCAGAATTTCATCAGGATTTCCCTGAATGAAGAAAAACTAGACACCCTGGTGAAGGATGGATTTTATTTTATGATCTCCGAACATGATTTCCTTTACCTGTACTCACTGTTTCTTTTTTTACTCTCAGGACTCCAAATGAAGGCATGTCAGCTATGGCTATGAAATTCAAACTGATGAAAGAGAAGAAACTGGAACTCCTGAACAATGCTTCCATTGCCGCTGAAATAAAAAAAGCCAACTTTAGTTCAGATGCGTCAAGCACAACCGTTTCTGCTGTGCTAAAGAGTATCAGTGAGGGCAGTGCCCAAGATAAGTCCCTCGATCCCACTGCAATTCCAACAATAATGGTTACCAACGCTGACTCCTATGGTCATCGTAAAAGTACTTCCAATGTCTCTCAGCCAGGAGACACGTCCGTAAATGTAGCTTGTCATAAAGCTGTTGAGGCCAAAACTGTGATAAATGCTTCTTGTGATAGTAGTAGTGTTCAAGTCTCCGCAGCCGACTCGGCAACCCTGATTGGGAGTAGCCAGAAAATAGTTCTAGGAAACCCAGAGCCAAGTTCAGAAAATGTCAGTGGTGACACTTGTGAAAACAAAAGTACCGCATTGAGGAGCAATGAAAGAGTTGGAACAAGCTCGAGTCCCCAAATTTCGAGTCCCCCGCCTTTGCCAGAAGCGTTGTTAGCAATGCTGGAAGTCATGGAGTGCGAGGAATCGAAGAAAGAAGGAGTTTCTAAGTGCCAGCAAAAGTTCACAAAGTACACTCCGGTTCTCTCATCTCTGAGCAGGTAAAATGCACTAAGTATTTTGACTTATATTTTCGATTTAAAAAGTCGTCCGAAAATCAAGTTTTGGTAATTTTCCCTTGGACAGTATTTGTTAAAATTAAAAAAAATTGTGCGTGACGTACACTGAACTCTATTACAATCTCAAGTAAATGGTTAAAATTAAAGTTTTTGAAAAGTCACTGTGAGTCTCAAAAATAGGCATTCAGATATAAAAACTTTTCAAGCTATTGCGTTTTTGCATATGTTACCCCAACTCTGCAGTTTTTCGAATGTTCATTAATTTTCACAAAGATTGCCTGACATAACTAGCATATGGAAAAATATACGAGTATATATTGATGGCGAAACTATCATAACATTATCGTTTACGGTGTTTCAAAATCTCCGTACCCATTTTATTTTCCTGGCGGAGAAAATATCAACATTATTTCTTGAAGTTTTCACAGAAATTTCTTTGCCTACAGTAGGAAAATCGTGAAAGTGTTCAGAAAATGGCGTCAAGTATTTAACAAAAAGTATAGTAAGACAGGAAGTGTGCAATGTCGCAAAGTGAAACACATGGTTTGAAAGTTTCACTGTCAATATTAAGTATTTGTTCGGTAATGTCTTCAATTTATTATTTTCTGTGGTAAATTGCCATGAAAGCAAACTTGATATCTAAATTTAATCTAATGCCTGCCTTATTATTGAGTCAAATTCTGATTTCGAAGGTAAGTGGTTATAATATCAGTATTTCATACGATGTAATCAATTTTAGTGGGCAACTGTATGTATCAATGCTAAAAGCATCCTTCATTTTCTCTTGTCAAATATTATGTTTTTTGGGGATCATTGTTGACAGATCCAGTGGCAGAGACGAGAAATATAGCGTGGATAGCATAATTTGCCCATTCAATCTACAAGGCACCTGTAGAGATGAAACTTGTGAGTACAAACACCTGCCTAACTAACTCAACTACGGTATGTATTTTGTACTCTAGCAAAGTGATAGACACAATTTAAGCACCTGATCTGAAGCCTGCTCATCTGTCCTTACCCATAGAATGATAGGTTTTGCCTGTCGTTTTCACAATCCATTTTTGTTTAGTTATTTTCATAATCTTAATCCCAACTTTTTCCCTCGCTTTCCTCTGAAGATTTTAGTCTCGGAATAGAATTTCATCAACCCCTCATATTTTCAAGAGTTGTCGCAGTTGAAGGTTTTGGAAATGTAGTTGATCTCACCTAATCTATGTCAAATGAGTACTTTAAGGTTGACACCATCATAATTTCAACTTCTTCGCTAGCAAGAAGGCATCGAGCCAAGGGCAAGGGAAAATAATAATTTGAAGAATGACATGTGGTGAAAGTGTAGTAGGTTTTGTTTTTATTATTAATTGCATATAGTTACCGCCAACTTTGAGATGGCATTATTAATGGAGATTAATATCTTCAAGTACCTGACCATTTTATTTTGAATTTCTAAAAGACAACTTTGGGAAGATTATTTCAATTTGCACCGGAAACAAGTGAAGGCAGAAGTCGTTGAAAGGTCTAATGAAGAGTCCTTTTAATTGCAAAATTTCCTCAGAACGCATTTAATATTCATCTCTGCAAAGAACGCATCGACTCTCCCAAGAAAGTTCAGTCAAACTTGCTGTGTAGCTAAGGTTTTGTGAAGCACCTTTTATCATTGAAGAAATTTCATGTATCTTTATGTCTTTTCAGAAGACATTATGCATTTTTGGAATTATTGATTCTATAATTTCATGCGCAATAGCAAGATTTTTCAGGTCGAATGTCTCTTAAGTTGTGGATACTCGTTGAATATCTGTATGAGCTCAAGACTCAGGCATCCAGTTCTTTAGCCTCATTTTTTTTTTTTTTTTTTTTTTTTTTTTTTTTTGTATTGTTTTGTTTCTTCAAATTCATTTGCGATTACAAACTGCCGTGATTTTGAGGAGCACTTGGCGGTTGAAATTGTTTCATTTGATCTTACTTTGATGATCTCATATGCAGCTTTTGTCAGTAGGCAACAGTTTAAAAGTGGTCATTTGATGGAATATTCATTGTTAGTCGTTTTTTTCCCCCTTTTTTATCTTTGGTCAGACAAGTCAACTTTTGAGATGAAAAGTTGCGTCTCAATAATATCTGACATTGCCCGAAACATGCAATTCAGCAGTTAAAATTGTTGAGCTTGAACAGTTCGTTGTATTTCAAATTAATTGTTATATTCCATCCGAAAAGAAAATTCATGTAAAATCAGCTTTAACTGCATGCTTCCCAAACGTTGTTTAATAGCTTCAGGTAGAATATGAAAGGCATCTCTCTTTCCCTTAGGTTTCCTTAAACCCTATCATTTAGGAAGTTAATGATCGTCACTTATAGCTCTCGTATCATTATTGCTTTCAGCATTTATATTTTTCCCCTCTATTCACTTAGTATCTCATTTGCTCCTGCCATGAGTATTGATTCGATAATCAGTCTCCCAACTCCAAAATTTCCGTTTTTTAGCTGGCTTTAAATTAAAGAAGACTACAGAGAGAAAGCTGCTTTACAGCGACACTCTAATTGTGCCATTGGTTCTGTAACCAAATTTTACCGGTAACTGGTTTAGTTAGTAAAAGTCCATGCTAAACATGCTTATGCACTTTTAAACTGCGACAGAAGATCCGCCATTTTGATTCTTGCATTTTATTTCCACACTGAACGGACATCAGACAATCTTTTGTCACAGTCTAGAAGTGCTTAAACTTATTTGGCTAACAGCTAACGGAATGAGGGATTTTGTGAAGATAATAATAATGTTGAATTATTCTATCTCTGCGCCTATACTGACCCCTCTGATGAATTCTTAAAACAATGCAATCATAGATTTTCTCCACTTTAGTCGGTCTCTGCAGAGGCTGTATTCACTACCCTAATTATCACTGCCAAATTTTTTTCCTTGAGGATCAAGAGAAACCATTTCTGGTGGTTTTTTTTTTAAACAGTCATCTTTCCGTGCAGCCCTCTTAATCTCGCTTTGGTACTTACCCCGAGTCTCTAGTTTTTGTGGCAGTTATCTTAGGACATGAACAATCACAATCAGCCTACTTACCTCAGTAATTTATTATCTTTCAATACTCACTGGCTTGTTTTGTTTTTACACTAAAGTTGTTGTTCTCTCACCATCAAGGTCTGATATTATCTAATCAGTACGTCTTTTATATATCTTCATTCATCAATAAACATTATTTTCATTTCTGTCTCTCCAATGATGCTTACAAGTAACGGTCCTAGTTAATTTTAAATTCAAATTTTTATGAATGGTTCAAATTCGAAAATGCATACGTTTATTTTTTGAGTCTTTTCCTTTATTTTCACCCCGATGTAGCAAGTTTTTCAGTAATCGAGCATTTTTCTTCTATACTGTAATTTTAAATACGAATCTTAATCGAATTTAAATTTCTTACACGAGTTTATATTTATACTATACTTCAGAAGCATTTCCAAAGCGAACCTTTTGAATATTGTCGGAAGCGGCATTTTCCTACTCTCGATTTCCCACTGCAGGAACAAAGTGTTATCAAGTTTCTTGATGTTCTTGTCTCTTTATTTATAATTTTTTTAGGACTCATTTTATTTTTCCAGTCTGTTGTTTTTTATTTGTACAGTTGTTTTGATTCGTAATAAAGTATTTTTATTTTATTTTACCATCTTGTCATTACTTTAAAGTAATCACCTCATGAAAATTTATGCCCTACCTATCAAGAGCGGAATGGAATAATTTACAGCAATTTCTTTGTAAAAATGACTACGCACAAACGGAATATATGAAAAATTCGAAGCCAGCTAAATTTTGAGCTAATTTTATATGATGTTCCTTACAATCTCCTAAGTAAGGATATGTTTTAAAAATTAATTTTCTATTTGCTGATCCCTGAAAAGTGCATTTTTTGACAATTTTAAATGCCTGAGGAAGCGGAAAAATGTGGCTAATCGAGGAGTGAGCTCCACTCTCTCTTCTCACACCGCCCTGAGAAATAAGACGGCGCGTCAATTCAGTTCAAAACAAAAGGCTTGGCATGCTCAATTCAGCAATGATGCCGCTTCATTGGATGATAACACATGATAAATAGCCAAAACATGCACTTTTCAGCCCTGATTTCTTCGAGATTAGTCCATAGAAAGTTCAATTTTGCAAGCTTATCTAGCTCAGAAGATTGTAAAAACATCATTTCAAGCAATCTTAAAATTTAGTTGGCGCAGAATCTCTTAGTATTCTGTGCATGGTCCTTTGACGTAGCGACTCTTCTACTGAAAAAATTAACCGCTCCTGTGTTAGTAGGTTTTTCATAGATGATGCGTTTTTCGAAAGTTTCGAATTCTTGTCTCAGCTACTTTCTTTTAGGTTTTGATGCATCACCTACAACAAGATAATTTATTTTAGAAATACTTTCTTTTAATTTATTTCAATTAATCATTCCATGGTTAGTGAACAGTTAATGCTAAAATACCACGTACAACCATCTGAGGAAAAGACAAAAATTAGGATGGTCGGTTAATAATAATGTTGACACTACACATGTGAAACTAGAACTCGTGGGGCACAGGTTGATGGAGTGATTGGGGATACTGACTGAAAATTAACAAACAAAATTGATTTGGTGAAATCAAGAGCATATTGTATTTCATTTAGGAGAAAATAAAAGTTGAAATTTATAATATAGAAAAAAAACAACAACAAAATAATTGTCATTCACTTTGTGACTAAAAAAATTACATGAACTTCATCAAGAAACATCGAGATATCATCGCAATACTGGTTCCTTGATTTTCCCTCTATTTTTGTTCAGAATTACTTGCCTCAATACCATTCATGGTAAAAAAGGCAAACCGCCCCTTCCTTGAATTAAATGGCAATTAAAAGTATGGAGTCACAGACTTTGCATGAAATAAAAGAAGCATTGACAAAACCAAGACACATTTCCATGTTTATAAGAGAAAAATACAAGTGTTGCTTGAAACCTTTAACAAAAATTGAGACTAAAACCTGGGTAGTGTAAAGTAAAATGATGATAACTTGATAAATTCCCCCCAAAAAATTGTGTGTTCTTTTCGAGTTGCCCTTAATTCATAAAAACAAAAATACACTTTTAAGCACTGGCAAGAATCTTACCTCTGAAAATAAAGACTTGAGACAACTACCGTTTGTGATGCTGATAACTGAGGCAACAGAGTTAGTAACTAATTTTTTCCAGCTTTGTACGAACGAGGGGAAAATACTCTTTGCGCATCATAAACACAACCAAGTAATCACATTTGATTGGTATGTACAAGAAAAGTTATATACATCTAGACTCGGCTAGCCATTCAATGCGTCCTCTTAAAAAACCTCAACAGACTTTACTTCAACCAAAAAAAAAAAAAAAAAAAAAAAAAAAAAAAAAAGAAAGAAAGAAAAAAAACAACGTTAATGGAGTGAGTCCTATTTTGATTCCGTAGCAAAATTTTAGAACAGTATCAGGGCTTAAATTAGCAGATGATGAATCGTACACGATACGCTCCTTTGCCAAGATTATACAGAGTTTGTCTCACAAAAACGGATTGGAAAATGATTTCAAAGGGAATAAACCCTTGCTGTTGTTGTCTTTTAAATTGGACTGCATTAGCCTGTTTCACACTATCAAAATACTCCATCAAATTGTCAAGGTCAAGTGCTGTGATTGGTCCAAGACATTGAATAAGCCAATCACAACACCTGACCTTGATATTTTGATGGTTAGCTTTGATAGTGTGACACAGACTATTAAGCGAAAAGGAATCACAAATTTCCCATTATGCATAGTTCCTGTTCGCTAAATACAATGAAACTAATTTACATCAATAACCAGCATCATTTGAAAACTGGCTCAACCAATAAAGCACGGGCAAGTAAGTCAGATCAGAGATCGACTAACAAATAGACGCTTGTTTAGAAGACACAACAATATGCATATTAAAATGGTAAGAGGTAATTATACTAAGACTTTACTGAAATACAATTAAAATTTATTCGTGCACTTGCATCAAAACCTAAACGCAGAAAATTACATTTCAATTTAAACGGGTTCAAAATTCGATTTTAAAAATTCTGCAAAAATTTCATGCAGAGAGATTGATTAATTTTCCTATGAAAAATAAAAATAAATTGAGAGCATACTTGAAAAGCATTAAAATGCTTAAATGGGCCACTAGACTAAGTCTGAACTATGAAAGATATGTTGCATGTTTTCTCTTCAAAATCTTGCATTGAAAACGATTCACACTACAGGAAATTTGGTAATCAAAATCTCAACAAATTATTAACAAGTATTTTGACCCCAGATCAAATTGAAATTAGATTGCACGAATGATGTTATTCGTACTTTGGTCATTTAACCTATGTTAATCGTGAACACTTGTATCTTGTTTTGGCGTTGATTACCAGACTTACTGTTGTGTGATTCGTCTGCCTTGTGAATTTTAAATTTTAAACATGCTATGTAGTGCTTCAATTTATGCCTTCTCTAGAGTTTCTAGAGAGAGAGTTTTTCGGAGACGAAATACTATAATTTAATACTTTATAATACACAAATTTTTCGAATCGAGAATTTTCAAGTGTGGATCATTTTAGACTTTTGTCTACCAGTATTGACTACCAGTATCAAAAAGATTGATTGAGCCAGTTTTTAAGAAAAAGACTTACCATCCTTCATTGACAGAGCCTATACATACAATAAATGCTACACAACGAGTGCATTTCGGATTTTCTTCTTTCAAGAGATTTTGATAAGATAAAACATATCTACACGGAAAGACGGTTCTAAATAAATCTTAAAGATCTTTGCAGATCACAGTTATTTGAGCCAGAGTTAGGTTCGATTGACAACAGTGAACTGTGCAATGGCTGCACAAACAAAATTTTCCTGCTCCAAGACGACTCCACGAACAAAAAAAATAACAAAAATCAGAAACAAAATACACGTTGATCCGGCAGTGTACCCTGCACGGCAACGCGCTTTAAAACTAAGCAACAGACATGGGCAAAATACATATGAAGGGGGAGCATTGGATGACATGAAGCAAACCAGACGTAACTTCGAAGGTATTTTTGAAGAAACATGTGGGCTGTATGCTGTTTTTTTATGATTCCCTTCGTAAATAGGTGGGTTCTGCTTAGTGACATTCAATCCTCCCCGTGAAAGAGCTTGGAGCCTAATATTGCAACGAGTCAAGAAAACATATTCACTTGCTGAACTCCGGAGAAAATCAGCGTGGTTTCACTACAGGTAATGTCGCCAGATTTTATCTGGACGTTGACGGACCTTCAGGGTTGGAGCTACTTTGAGATTCGTCCATGCAACTGCTGGCTGCGTGTTTCTTGAGATTATCCATGTACTCCTGCTGCGAAGCGGCCATGACCTGTGCAAGAATTTCTGAGTCGCCCCAGTCGTACAAACCTGCCAAAAAAACAAACGATTGTTGTCATTTTTGGAGCAAGGGTGAGGTTAAAATTGATCAAATGTTGAGTTAGAAATTAATAGAAATTTTGGGACCTAGGTTTAATGATTGGCAATAAGGAGATTTGTGTGGGCTGTGAAAAATTAAAAATTATGAGTCAAAAATGTTTTTCCTCTTTACTCATTGATTCACAAACTCTTATTTAGACCTTGCTTACAGATCTCGTCACCTTCCGGTCAAAGTATCACAGGCGCCATGCAACGTTTAAACATTTCTGCTGCCATTTTATTTTTTTTTTTTTGCAGAGAAATTGTTGGTTGAATCTGTTTGAAAATTACGCTGAATTTTATCGGCAGCACACAGAAACTTCAGTGAAATTTTCGGACAGCTTCGTTAAAAAATTTCTCTAAAAGAAAATAAAATGACGGTGGAAATTCTTGAACGTCACATGGCGCTTGTGATACTTTGCCTGGAAGGTGACAATCTGATCAGGAAATGTCTACTGAGGCTGTACATTTGTAAGCTAGATGCGACGCTTCAACTTGACTTTTGTGAGGCGTACAGTTTTTTTCAGAAAAGAAAATGGCGTTCAAAATGGGTGTCAAGGTTTAAACTTGAATTCTGAAAACCTCTCAAAATACAAAATACAGCTGCTGTTGAATACAAGTTCCGTTCCTTTTAATTCCATAAAAAATAGAAAATATATGGTTAATATTGCACCAAGTTTATTTCACTTTGGATTTAACAATTAATGATTAACAATTTCATCAATTGAAAGACAGTTACAAATTTTTGGCAACCATCTAGAAGAAACATACTTTCGCTGACACCATGTGATTGAGTTTTGGGAAAACTAGTGTTTCTGAAGTATCATACCGAGTATACTGCATCATTTATTTAGTTTGAGTTTTGAGTGAAAGTTTCTATTGGAACATTAAATTTTATGATGAACGATTAGCCTTGTTACAGGCTAATGCAGAAGGAACCAAGACAGAAGGATGCATAGATCATGCTTCGTGCAGCCTTAAAACAAGTTCAATTTTTGAACTTTTTCTTGCGGCACACATTTGATTTTTTTGGAGGTGCATGAATTTCACTTTTTTTTTACTAATTTTAAATAAAGTCTCTACCGAAAAATAACAAATCATTCAACATTGAAAAGATTATTTGGAAAAACATCTTCAATAAGAAGGAAATTCTGATCTACCTTCAAGCGACTCAAAAATGTTTGACTCCAACTCTCAGAAATATAGGGAGAAATTATTGCGTTCCGAAAAAAACTAAAAGGTAGGTTTTAAAAAAAGGTTGATTTTTTATTCTTGCGGCTACATAAACTCCATAAAATGATAGCAAGATTTCCTAAAAATTAATATTTGTAATTTGATCGTTGAATTTCCACAAAAAAGAATGTGCAGGGCATATTACCTAACAAATTTTCATGGATGAGACTAGAGCCAGATTCTTTTGAGCTAGACGATGCTGTGGTGTGTGATTTAACCTCTGATGGTGGGGGAGTTAATGAACCAAAGGTTCGTGCAGTCGCAGTTGAGCTCCCTATTGACGAGGCCGCTAACTGCAAAAACAAAATGTACAAGTCGAAGATATCAGAAAGAACAAATTAAAAGTAACATTTATAATACTTCTAGAACTTAGATAGATTTCTTTGAGTACTTCAGTGTTAAATTAACTCTTGAATACAGATGTTACATTTCAGAGCAACAAATTAAATTAATATACCAGCTACAACGAACAAAAAAACAAATAGTGTATTTTCTTTGGAAAACACACTGAAAAAGGCTTCAATTTCAATTAAGTTAAATCGAAATACATTTGATTAAAAACCCTTGAGGGCGTACATCAACGGAATGTAATGACAAGCAAAACATTCTACTGGGGCTGTTGGTAAGTCAGCAAAATTGATCGTTTTACAATGGCAACACTGCCTTTGGCTTCAATATGCAAAGTTGTTGGTAAAAAATTGATCCTATCAATTATTATCATTTTTGTGAATGATGAGGTACACATACTATAGGTATACTTTGATATAGGTGCAGATGCAATGAATTACCCTTTCCAAAGAGTAAATCGAATGGCATTAGAAAGAGTCTTTTTTCTGCAATAGTCTGATTATATCATTAGATCAATATCTACTGGTGACCATGGAGTCATCAAAAAAAGGAAAAGCCCCATTCTTAGTTAAACAATGGGTCTGTTGCAAGCAAGAGATACAGTCAACTGAATACACTTTTAGAGGGAAAATTTGCTCGAAAAATATGTTGGGCACATCAAAAAAGTCTGAAATCCATTCCTTGGGACGCAATCTGCATAGTTTGTACCACACTTTTTCAAATTTACCACGTATGGGGCAGCTTTCCTTGGTGGCTAGCAGTCAGGTTTGCCTGAAGAGAGACCTAACCTGAGTAAAAAACAATCTTGCAAATTGTTATAAACTCTCACAGCGGAAGATTTCAATTGATTCAGAGCTTTTGTTTTTGCAATATAAAGAAAGAAAAAGGAAACACACGCTTGAAAACGGATGAAGATATACAATAGAAAAGTTAATTGATCGTTTGTTTTCTTTGGGTAGTTCTTTCTTACTCCTCTGCCAGTGCAAACCTGGTAGGCGGTGACTGAGAAAAACTGCCCGCAGATGTGAAAAACTTGAAAAAGCGTGTTACAAACTACGTAAATAGCGCGCTAAGAACCAGATTTCAGACTTTCTTTATGCGTACGATGTGATTTTCACTCTCAAGAATTGTATTCAGTTGGTGGTATCTCTTGCAAGCAACAGACCCAATTAATGACTTTTAATATATTTGCGAGGTCTCACAGTTTAAAGACAATTTTAAAGCAAAACCATACAGCTGAAAATTGATGTCAGCGATTTACTCCCAAAATACATCTTCAGCGTTTCTTTTTCTACAATTTACCCTTGATCCTGTTCTACAGCAAATTCGCTTATCTTTTCATCGGTCTAACACACTCAACGAATTTACCGAAAAGACAAGAAAAACGTCCGGTACATACCATGGCAGATCTTCGTTTTTCATTGTCCTGCACCCACTGAAGATAGCTGTCCTTAGCAACTTGTTCTTCGATTGCCTCATTGGTTGCTTCCCAGTCAGTGGCTAAAATCTTATCTTCTAACATGGCCTGAAAAAAAACCAGTCTCACATGAGAACAAACATAAGAGAGACGGTTCAAATTCTCAAAGATTCTATTAAAAATACAAGAATTTATTTTAAACCTTACAATTTCAAATTCAGCCAAAAGCTCCTTCAAAACAATAATTTCGCACCTCGTACTGAAAATGCTAATTGCCACTCTGAGCTTAAAAGCTTAGCATTACTTAATTGCCAAGGCGCTAATGCTTAAGGTGATTTGATGGACGCCATATTTTGTGTCAGAAAGGCATGCGATATATCGCATCCATTGGTTCCATATTTTCAGCTACTTGTCATTTTCCTCCAATTTTGAGATCGCAATTCTGTTGTCAGGAGACTATAGCACTCACTTACCAATTTTAACGAAGAAATTCAACGTAATAAAGGCGTGGTTTTTTTAGAGAGAAAATATCACATTCGAGTGCAGTTTCGATATCAGTATCGAATGCGATGTTTTCTCTCTAAAAAAACCACGCCTTCAGTATGTTGAATTTCTTTGTTAAAATTGGTAAGTGAGTGCTTTAGTCTCCTGACAACAGAATTGCGATCTCAAAATTGGAGAAAAAAGACGAGTAGCTGAAAAAATGGAACCAATGGATGCGATATATCGCATGCCTTTCTGACACAAAATATGGCGTCTATTGAATCACCTTAAAGTAATAAACCGAAAGTAACGAGAACTGAACGAAACAAAACAAACGGGTAATTAATCGAGGCAACAAACTGTGAGCTAAATAATGAAATAAAGGAAGCCAAAACTAAAAAACTCAAACTCACAAAAATAAATTAAAATTGCCGGTGCGTTTCGAAGCTCCCCGGCCCCTTCTTCGGTCTCTTTGAGTCGGAATTTAGCCTTGAAGAAGGAACTAGGGAGCCCCAAAATACATTGGCAATTTTAATTTATTTTTGAGAGTTCATGTTTTTTAGTTTTGGCTTTTTTTGTTTGCGCTAATGCTTACTATACAATCGTAGTGAGAGTTCATCAAACTAAGTTTTTTTCAGTAAAACATCAATGGACCATCAGACTATGTACAAATTTAAACATTCTGATATATATTTCTACTTGAAATTACATCTTCAACACATTTGCGCTGAGAAATTGACCTTGAATTTGACCTTGAAATTGAAATTGACCTTGAAGAATTGACCTGAGAATTGGATTTGACATTGAATTTGATTGAGAATTGAAACTGTGGCCATAACCATAATGGTTATTGTCGATTAAAAAATTCTCTACAAGTGATCGGGACAAAAAGGAAAGAACCAGGTGACAGGTAAATAATTTCAAAAAAAAAAAGAAAAAAAAAAAAAAAAAAAAAAAAAAAAAAAAAAAAAATACACCACGCCAGGAATACCAATTCCAACTACATTGGAGCTTCTTGACAGAATGATGTAGAGAAGAGGGATAGAATTACCTGCTCAAGTTGCGAGTCGGTGGTTTGATTTTCTACAGACACCAGGTTTCTGTTGGATATGATTGGCGGTGTGAAGGTTGGTAATGCACTGATTGGAGGTTTACGAGGGTCCATTAAGCTATTGTAATGGTTACCTCGTTGGTATGACAGCCGAATCGATTCTAGATTAGCTTCTGCTCTGGTATGAAACGTATGTACAGGTTCTGTAAACGATCAAATACTTTAAAATAGATGGATACACATTTTTTATTTAGAGACATTCACAGAACTTGATAGAATTTAAAACTAGAAAACTTTGCCCCATGGCATAAAGGCCGTTCGAGTTACTTCAAAATATTCCACTTGAAAGGAAGTTTGCTTTTGAGCAAGATTAACCTCTCCTACACCACACACAAGTATACTTGTCGGTGCATTTTGCAGTCTATGAGTCACAGATTAGTTAACAGGTTCGACCACTTGCATTTCTGTATGGCATTCCTCAACAAAAGTGTTTATTTCACTGACTTTTCTGAGTTTTCCCTGACCAAAGTGATCTGAATTCCCTGATTACACATCTACAATTTGCATACGTAGAGGTGAAAATGAGCCATTCTTAGCATTAATTTCTCAACAAATGACAGATGCAAATGAACTTTTTTCCCCTTAAGTATGAATCATTCAATTGGTTAAAATTTCAATCCCTTCTTGAAAATTATTCTTCTATTCAATATTTAGAATGTAACTCACAATGAAACACAAACCAGACCAAGACTCAGTTTGACTGTGTGGAAAGCATGGATGTTTTTATCAGATTTCAAGTTTCAAGATAACGTTTCACGCTTTTCTTGACCTGTAAAAACCCTACACTTATAGACATCTTGATATAAGGTATAACCAGTGTTCTGCCTTCCCCCTAAAATTTTAGGAGCCAAATTAAATTTTTGCATACGGGCCATGGCGAATGAAAAGCTCTCGGGCTGCGCTGCTAACAGTGCATATAGAGATCGCTTCATCACTACCGCTGCTTCCTGATTGCAAGTTCAATCTGTCAAATTTTTTAGGCGCCACGATGGTCAGCCCCCCCCCCCCATGTTTGGGCGCCAAGGCCCAATTTTTAGGCGCACAGCCCCCGAGGAAGGCAGAACACTGGGTATAACACAAAAATAGTATATTGAAGATCGTTTTACTTACCATGGCTATAACTATAAACTTCAATTTTTCTATTATAAAGCTCACTTATTGCTTGCAGCTCAATATGATTGCCGTGAGTATAGTCTAATCTCTTTCTATTTATGTAGTTGGTGAAATTTTCTGTAAGGTACTGAGAATAGTACTCTGAGTTGGCCTGGATGAAGTCCATGCACTGGTTGCGGATTAAGCGGTGCAGCTCTTGATCACCGTAGATTTGATCCGCCACCGCACGAAACATGCATGCCCCATCTTCGCCCATTTTCTTGACTACCAGTCCACGTTTTCTCATGATTAATTTTTCAAACATGAGGTCTCTCTGAAATTCAAACAAATTCTATGCGTTACAGGTGTTTCTGCAGAATGAAAATCTGTTCGTTGCTCAAATAAGGCATTAGCTGTAAAACACAGCATTACTCAGAATAGTTTCTTTTTTAAAAAAAAAATTGACATTTGTTGTTCGTGCAGTTATTATTTTTCTAATGAAAAGACGAATTTAAGTGTATTTTCTGTTGGAATACCACTGCAGGCAGGCGGATTTTATAATTTTTCCATGACTTATAAGCCGTGACTACTTGGGAAATAATCCATGACTTGCACAATTGACTCTTTTTGAATTAATATATTTGAAATAATGAACATTGGCAGAAATAATCAGAAGTATAGACCTGATATTTGGGGTTGATAAAAAGAAGGAACCAATTTAATTTTACAGAGAGATATTAGATGTATATTAGAATTACTTCTTTCTTCTTTAAATGGTTTCTTTCTGATCAATTGATTCCAAATATTCAGGTATCAGTCAAGAGTTATTGCACAGATTATTAAAAGATTCAGCGCTGTCTAAGTTTCTTCATTTTGTAAAAGATACTTTCTACAATCTTCTTGGATTTCAAGCTTGGAAACAACAGTATTCTTTGCTACAATGGAGAATTTGCACGCAAATTTTAAGTTGCATCATCTGAGAGGTCTTAAAGAGCTGATTTTGCAGTATTTTATGTGATTTTTTTCTGAAATGGGAAATAGTATAAAAATTGATTTAAAAAAGAGAAAATGACGTCATCCCTAAAACGCCGAAATGACGCCTAGTGACGTCATCTGGCAGCTTTTCTCATTTAAACACATATATTTCCGCAGATTAAATCATTTTGCCATATCTCCTCCAACAATTGCTCAATTTATCAACCAAGGGTATCCTCGTATTCAGTTCACTCAGTAGTTTCCACTTAAACACGAAATTCATCAAATTTCAGACACTTCCAATTCTTCATTTAAAAAAAGGAGGGCAAATAAGTGACTATAATCTAAGAACATGTGCTGTAATGCTGGAGTTCTCTAGTGGCCCATATTCAACAGGACACTGCAGGCTAATATTATTCCCAAGAATATTGATTCTTTTCTACTTTCGTTTCGTTCATTAAAATTTCTTGGTTTTGGCTTTTGAGTCTACAGGGAAACGTTGGAGTCTGAGGACAAGCTTTTGTGTTTTCCTTCCAGCACAAAAAGAAAACCACTCTTTAAACAAACGCAATACTGCGACATTCCTACTGCAAAATAAGCTAAAAAGCACTGTCCGGTCCTGGTATGCTCAAAATTGGCACATTACATTACGATTTCAGGGCTCGTTATGCTCAAAGGGCCTCAAAAAAGACCATTCAAAAAAAATTAATAAATAATAAACCCCAAGCGTTGATTTACTTCCTAATCCATGTCCTTTGCCAAAAACACTGTAATGAGAAAATTTGAATTGATTAGATCGAATCTATTTTTCCTCAGAATTTGGCATCCAAATGGGAAGTCGGAAATGGACCACTAGACAAGGTACGAATTTCAACAATCTGATACATGTTTCTTAACAAGAATTTCACGTAGAACCCGATTCACACAACGAAAATTACTGAAACCAACTCCTAACGAAGATATTAACGTTTTTATTTCACATTGGTTACGAGGAATTTGAACTGCCCCCTGCCAAGCTCTACGTGAGTCAAATCGCGCATTACAACGGTTTCAGCAAGCTTCTCAACCGAGCAATGTTCATTTCCCGCCATGTTTCTTTCAAACTATAAGCAATTTGCAATAGCTGAGCCAAAGCGTTAAGATTGAGGTTGACAGATTTTTATATCGCAAAGACTGTCATGATAACGTTTAGCGCGCGATGTGAATCACGTAGAGCATTGAGTTTTCAGGAGCGGATGGTTTGAATTTACGCACTAAGAATCATTAAATAGCTTCGTAAGGAGTTGATTTTTGTAATTTTCGTTGTGCGTATCGTGTTCAACGTGAAATTTTGGTTAAGGATCAAGCATCAGAATGCTGAAATTCGTACCTAGTCTAGTGGTCCATTAGGGTAATTCAGGTTTGTAATTGTAATGACTGACCTCTGCCCAATCCATTTCTGCTCCTTTCAGAGGATCGTATTCGTCTTCACTATTATATCCATCATAACTGTTCTGGGATGGGCCGGCTTCCGCAGAATTGCTAACCACTGTTGCTGACACAGTGTGTGTATGGGTGTGTTTTGCACCCTCGAGCGAAACTTTGTTCTTTGTGCGGCTCAGCCTGAAAAGAAAGCCATCGCAACACATTTAAATACGTGTTGATCAATGGTCACATGGAAACTTACAACTTCAGTGGGATACATGGTTCCATCAATATGGGGGAAATTGTAATTAGGCAGTTCCTTGGAAATCTACATTGGCCTACATCTAACATCTACAACTAAAAAAGGCTTTATCCTGCGGCAGTATTAAACTTACAGGCAGAAAAGTTAATGAAAAAATAATCTACGTACTGATTCATGAATCTTTTGACATTTTGTTTTCATTCAGCAAACTGGGTGCATTTTGGAGTATTGTGTTTCAAAACAGGATTTTTCTCACAATTCCTCATAAAAATAATCTGCAGAAAAATAAAGGAATATGCTTACCCAACACGCCGTCTTCTCTTGGTGAGTCGATAGCTACAGTCGGAACAATCACAATCTGAAGAGGTGTAACGATGGTCATCATCATCCACACGTCTAAAAAATTCAAACCATAATTCATTACAATATGAAATAATAAGTTGCACGGGTGCAGGAAGTTCTTAGTCTTCCTGTTTTTTGAAATGGCCTTCCCATTTTGAAAACCCCATTTTTCCCCATAATTTTCAATGTCATGACTTTTATCTTCCTTTTTTACATACAAAAAGCCAGAAGTATCAATACGGCAGGATAGATTCTCCGGTATGATCCGTAAGTTTAAGAGCTTTTGTGATTTGAGGTTACTTTCAGAAATGAATGATGGCACTCTCCAGCTCTCTACCAGATTTTGCCAAGAACTAAGTGAATGGTACAATAACAGGTTGGTAGGATAGTACCAAGTCAACACTATTCTGCAGGAAGCTTAAGGCCAGAAATTCAAATTAAAGTCACGAAATAAAATGGAATCTTCTCAGCACTTTCTCAGTGGGACCCTGGCAAAGTATTCTAGTGCACCTGCCTGAGTTGAGAACTCTCCTCTCTAATGTTTGCATTGAGACTCATTTGAGTTCATTTAATAACTCTAAGTCTACTGTTTCTTACATCTAGTTTTGTTTTCACTTCATAATTGGGTGAACCTAGGATTATATTATCATCCTGTTAATTATGGTGTTTTTAGTGGGGTTTTTTTCTCTAAATGATTGCACTGAATGCTGTTGCTATGAAAATGAAACAAGGTTCAACTAACCTTTGCTTTCTGCGTTTATGTGCTCGGCGCTCACAGTCTGAGCAATCACAAGAGCTGTCGGTGTATGCATCTTCGTTACAATCACTGAAAGATCAAATCAGTATTTAACATAGTCACAATCAAATTATTCAGATAATATCTATCAAATTATTCAGATAATATCTATCTTGAATATTACAACAATATGAATCCATCATTTCATGCCATGGGCAATCTTACTGTTTCTGGCCTTCGTGACCTAATGAGTTCCTCCAGTTTTGTATCAGTTCCATATGGCTAGCAGAACTTTAGAGGAAAGAACACTGCGTAAAGTAGAAAAGTCGTTAGCTTTTGTTTGAGATACGTATGGAATTGGAAGATTTGTGAATGCTCAATGGAAGAATTTTCGAATTACATAAAAACCTTCAAAAATAGATCATACAATTCAAATGAAAAATGACAACTCTGTTAGTAAATCATTTCTTAATGAGGGTGCAAAACCCTGCCTCCTGCATAGGGTGAGGAAATTCGTGAGCGCGTGAGGATATTTTTCTATGATAACTTTCCTTTTTGTTTCAGCAAAACAGAAACAGGTGCTTAATCATGCTGATTTATAAAATATTTTGCTCTAACATGTACTTCTGACCTATTTGTAGAATGAGAAAATTTTCAGACTGAGACTACAAAAGATTTTTGCTGTGAAGAACTTTTTCGGTTCTTGATTCCCACTATGATGTGTGATCACTTTCTTCCCATTTTGACATTTGAATACATAGAGAGATGACGCCTCGTCTAAAATTGCTCTGAAAAAATTAATTCCAAAGATTTGGAATTCCAGTTCCACCCCCTCCTAAAAAAACTAAAAACAGTAAAAAATACATGAATGCTAACTCACCGATGAGAGGTTGCTTTGCTTCTGCGTAAGGAGTTATGATCTACTTCAAGGGCCACATGAGGGTTCCTTTCCTCACAAGCACGGGAATCTAGAATCTGGAACACAAAAAACATAGGAGATAAGCAAATGAGCTGCGTAACAGCAGAGCAGTAAAGCTCCAGTACCATCATGAAAATACAAAATATAGGCTTAAATCACTTAGGTGGAAGTTAGCTTTTGAAATCTTCCGATCTCAGACTGATTTTCCCTAATTAACAATTTCACTGCTTTCTCAACATCTCTGCCGTTAAACCGTACCTCTTCCACAGTTTTCTGAGCCCCAAGGAATCAGTGTAATCAGCCTGAGGAATGACTTTTCGAAAAACCATGCACCTTAGTTATCAATTGTGTAGATTTCCTGCAACTCGTTTGTTTTTGGAATGATGATTTATCAACATTTTGGTACCATACTGCATCCTATTTACCTTTGCCCTTGTAAGAGTATTCTTTGAACTTCCTTAAAGAATTTAGCGTAGACATTTTGAAAAACTGCCATCAAGATATGTATGTTTGAAAGTCATTCTTAACCCCTGAAGCTGAAATTGCGGTCACCAGATAGTGCACGGACTGACAAATTGGAGAAGGCAAGGATTCTTGCTAGATCAACTCACTTATACCAATACTCGGTAACTTATATTTGTTACGTGGGGTGTGGAAAGTGAGAAAAAAAGGGCTCCAAAAGCAAAAAACAGGAAAACTTATCAGTCCCACAGTGATTATATTTCCAAAATAGCTGATATCTGCTGCTTTTCTGTGCAAAGTTCATCATTAGTCTTCACCAAATATAGTTTACCCACTTTGAATTGTGACAGAACATCCGTCATTTTGCTCCTTGCCCTTACTTTGCATGTAAAAGTTACATGAGACGATCTTCTGTCAAAGTCTAGAAGTGCGTAAACTTATTCAGCATGGACTCTGGTAGTGCACAGTGAAAAGATCAAGCTTATGTAAGATAACTGATTGGGATTGCCAAGAAGGTGAATTTCATGCTTGAACATTTGCAAACCTATCGCAAGACACAGAGGACTTTTCAATGCTGGCAGGACTGACTCAAAAGCTTATCTACTGACTTGTGACCTACTATGTTAAGGGGGTTTAGAAGTGACAAACCTAGCATGTGCTTTAAGCTAACCTAGGAATACTAACTGTGCCTGATGCAAGGGCTGGACTCAATAGAGACTATACATGAGGAAATGGAACATTTGAACCACTAGCTGAGAAATGAGCAGAGCAAACAAACGAAAAATAGATAACAAATACTTCGTCCCAGGATGAGAGAGCCGGGTGCTAATATGGACAGGCTTAACCTACATTCCATCCGCGAACAGATTTGCATCAAAATTGGTTCAGAGAGAAGGTCGGCAGAGCTTGTGCATACAATTGGGTAAGAATTAAAGGAATTTTCTTTTCGTTGGTGAATCATGCTGGAAACTCCCCGATAGGCTCTGGGTCACCGAATCAGATGGCAAGGTCCAGCCTTGTGAGGGCTGAGTCCATAATTAGAGAATCAGTCTGGGAGAGCCCCTGAACCAATGGACTCGATTATGGAACGAAAATTACAGGAGATGATCAGATTTACTTGCCTGAGAGTGCGAAAGTCCATCAAGGGGCTTCAAAACTATGGAGCTGCCTAGGTGAGAATTTTGATCAGGTTTCTCATCTGTTGAGGTGTGGGTTTTCTTCTTGGAGAGAATAGTCATTTCGAGATTCTAGGATAACCGAGGAATACCATAGAGACTTTCGGACGGGAAAGTGACGTGAACAATCGTTAGGGAATGAAAAGGAGACAGGATTACATGGCTAACCACGAACGAACATTCTTCTTCTTCGACAAGAATCAACCTGTCATCTGATACGGGGCAAGAGAAGGAGACTAATTATTTTCACAAAATACGGAAAAGCTCTCGGTCGTGCGACAAAGTGGAAAAAAACTGCGAGGATTGAAAATTTAGAACAAAACTTTCACAAATAGTAATCAGGATTCCAGCTGCTCCTGAAGAAATTACGGGTCAACACAGCACTGCATTCGCCAGCTTATCAAACAAAAGAAATAAATAAATGCATATCAAAATACCCATGGTGATTGGTTGCTACGCTGGTGGAGGGGGTAGGAAAGATAAAAGCATTTCTGGAAAAGTAGGAAAGGGGCAAGGAGGGAAAGGGAGGATTCCTCTTTCGAGCTTACAAATTTAGCCACTTGTATCGCTGATGTAAATACTTTTGTACTTTTAACTTATGGCAACACCGCATGGAGATTTCCTTCCCTTCTCCCCTTGCCCTCCCCCTCCGCCAACCGACCACATGCGATTTTGTTTTGTTTTGATAATTGATAACCGAATTCTGTGCTTCCTGCTTCCTATTTGCTTTGCTGTGTCCACGGCTTTTTCCATGTCGCTAATTTTTATCAAACCGTGCTTAGATTTTAAACCCACACCATTTCAACTTATCGCTACATGGACTTATGGATGAAAATGCTTGGAACATCGATAAAATCCAAGCTTTTTACGAGTATGTCCTCAAAGAGAGGGAGTCGCTGAGGGTAACGGATGATGTGCTTCGACAGTGTTGGGTGAGCTTTTTTTACCTTGCTCTGACTGTTTTTTCTATATTCTCGCTGCTGATGAGTCTTCTCATTTTAAAAATCCAAGGAGTTCCAAGTATGCAATGTTACATCTTGAGATATGTCGCCAAGAAATGGCTCCTCGGCAGAAATAATCATGTTACTGATGTATTAGCAGACGCTGACACCTGATGTACCGCATAGAAAAAAAAAGGAGGTGTTCGCATCTTGAGGATTGCTTACGCGGTGACGTAGGTCAGTACTGCATGGCGTTGATATTCCAGCAAAATCCGAATTTTTAAGTATGAATTACGGACTATAACGTCCGATTTTTTTGCTTCAATCAACTCATGATATAATTTTAAATACTTTATATAGAATGAATTTTTTCCCTAATCCGTACCATTCCCAAGAAAATTGATGATAAAAATTGTCTGTACCGACCCACATCATCAAGAAAATCCAAGATGTCTGAAATGCAAACAACTCCTTTTTTTCTCTATGGATGTTTCTTATGATTGGATCATATTTATCCAATACCTCCCACACTGACGGTTTAACCAAGCCATCAGCAACTTTATATTTTACAAGAGAATTTTTGTACGGATTCCTCAGAATATTTTAAGGAATTTATTTCATACCATGCAGAAAATTCCCTAAAATTTGCATAAACATCCGCACAACCGTTCTCATGTAAAATATTAAATTGCCCAATCAAATCTGGCGAAAGCTGATGTGGCTTGGTTCCTTTCTGTTTAACACAGTCCAATTGGTCATATACTCATTACCGCCAAGCAGAACCAGAGACAGGTGAGAAAAAAGGGATGTGCTCGTTAGTCGGGGGTCGTAAGAATGAATGGGAATCATTAAGGAGCGGTGAAGTCAGTGACGATGAAGCCATCGCAGCGGTTGCCTGTGGTTGTATTTAACTCGTGGGCCCTAGCCACAGCTTTCTTTTGCCATGCCCACGGCTCATTAGTGCCCCGCAAAGTTGGCGCTTAGTTCCGTCCGGTAGAATGTAAAATCCTGCTTTTCCATTTCTCCAAAGATAATCATGCCCGGTTTTACATCGTTTTCTATGTAGCTTTCCAGAGCACACCCCATCTTTCCCTCTTGTCTATGGTTCTGTTTAGCACTAGTATGTCCAATTGTGGTTCTATTCCTGGCAGAAATTGAGTTAAAAATTACATAACTGTTTGAGAGGGAGGAGTTCATGAAAGAAAATCATTGGTTACAGCAAGGTGTGAGAGCGCAGGACAGTAAAAGTAGATTAAGAAGTGAACTAAGTATTGATGAAACAGAACTCACTAGTGTTCTTTGCCTGAACGTTACTAGATTACTTTGAGTTGCATGCTGTAAATTTTCTTGCCGAAAGTGAAATCCGACTACGCAATCCCTCTAGCAGACTTTCATCAAGGGAATTCTGAAACTTGTCGCTTTTTCAGAACCAAAGTGTTCTGGCTGCTTTTGTATGCATGGAGGCACACTGTCATTCAAGGTCCTTACATTTCGGTGCTTAAATCGTAACTATTTTTTTCTTTTTTGCAGACGCTCCTTCAGGTAGTGACCTCTTTGAATGATTTATCTCCCTCATCGCTCAACTTGCAGAGTCTTTTGAGCAACTCCAATGTCCAATCGCTGTGTTTGGAACAACATGAGTTTTGGCCACGTCTAGGTGCCACACTTCTCGATGCACCCTCGTCACATTATGTCGCCGATTTAATGGCCCAGTTAGTCGATCGTATTTATGATAGTGGAAGTTTGATGCACCAGGAGTTGTTAGAAAAAATCTGGGAAAAAAGAGGTTTGTTGTTTTGATATTTTTGCTCTCTCATTTCCTTTTTGAGTAAAAAAAGTATTTTTCTCCCACATGGAAATCAAATTCAAAGGAAGTCTGTATCAAAATGTCAAGGATAGAATCTCGTGGTCTAGGCACTCTCAGAAATACATAGTTAACAGTCAAATTTTTCGTCTTATTTTCCTCATCTAAGGGGACTTCCTCATCCAGGCAGAATTTTCCAAGAGTGACATCATCACAATATCACATCACCCGGCTCCACTCTTGAAAAACTGATGGCAAATAATGTGGTGTAAATGCTATTTTTACTGGAAAATGAATTTCGAAGTCGCTTGAGGTTTCACCCAATTTTATGAAGATGAAATTCCAATTTAGTTGATATGAAATCTCAATTTAAAAGTGATAAAATCTTTATCTACTTGTAATAAATTCTAAGCACCATCATATCAAGCAATTACACCTGATTCCTTTTTGGCACTGTTATTTATGGAATCAGATAATTGTGTGGCACCTACAATTAACAACTTTGTCACCTTTGGAAAATTGCGCTAACTATTAAAAATTTGAAATAACTCGTTTTAATTTTTCAGGTGACTTGAAGCTATCTATGAAAGCTCTAGAGCAAATATTGAAAACTCATCCGTCCTTGTTAGAAGCCTCATTATCGCAATTACTCCTGAAAGAAGATATCTGCCTTTCAGCAAAGGCGCTCTGGAGCCAACCTCGTCACTCAGCCATCGTCCGCCTGGCTGCTGAGTCACCAGAAGTCTTCCAAGCAGCAACTAGCATCATGAATGAAATCCTTATCCAAACAAACCTCACTGCTCACATTGTGGAATTAATCCGAATGTTTATAAAAGGAGTAAGGTCAGTACATAAAGCAGATCTCAATGCCTTTGTTTCATTGTACCCGCTTCACGTGCAGTTTCTAGTCATGTTCTTGTCGACAAAAAGGTGGCATGCATCTAAAAGTGAATCAGAAAAATTGAACAATTTTGTTCATCTTAAATTGAAGGAGCTTTTGAAAGACGATGTCAAAGGGTTCTTGTGTTTGGCCATGCATTTTCCAGCTTCAAACGATACATTCCAGAGTTTTAAAAGTTGATGGAACTTTTGCTCTCTCCTAGTTAAAAAAGTTTAAATTTCCAAGCTAAAAAGCCTAACAAAGCATTTGAATTTAACAGCCTAACAAAGTAACTGCTTTTCACATGAGGTTTGAAGACAAAATTTGCACTCAGGTTTAAGTTACTATTTTCATTAATGGATCAGAAAATTGTGATAGCTTAATCAGTTCGTCACACTCCAATTGTGTGTTTTTGCGTCTTTATTTTTCCTACATCAGCTATTATGCATAGTTATCATGTGATTGATTTTGCTGTGATAGATGCTTATGCTTCCCAGGAAATATCACCACGGTATTTTTTATAGAAAATCTCAACTTAAGTTGTTCCTCTTTGAATAACATGTCATTCAAATCAGGGAGCAGGATCTTTTATTGAAGAATGTGGTGCTCTAGGCCCTTTGGACTGGTAAGGTCTTCAGTACTGAAGACCAATCATTTCATCCTGATTTTTCAATTAGTGCGGACCCATTTAAATCAGGAGCCAGGAAAATTTACAGCTTTGAGAATTCCTTAATTAGTTGTAAAGTACTTGCAGACAAAATGCTCTGTTTTGGCGGACAGCTTTTGAAGCTGTAAGAACTCTCAATGTCTCCCCACAATTCGTGATTGTTGGTTATTTTTTTTTTTTCGCAAAAAATTCTCCAAAAAGCCTGCGTTATCCTTAAACATTGAGACAATCAATATTTTCTAGAAAGGAACAGCGCTCATCTTTGCCCAGTAAAAACTGATAAGTGCCGAGTGATTGAGTCAAGTTGTCTATGCAGAAAATATTTCCAACCATATTTTATGTGTTCATGCCAATCAAACAATACTCATATGTCGCTCATCAAATACCTCTCAGTAATTTTAATACTTAAGGTTTTTGTGATTTTAGATTGAACTTTTGCTGGTCTCGATGTTTTGAGACTGGAATTTTGTATATTTTCTTTTTGTTACAGTGCACTTTTTGTTATCTACTACTTTAAATATTTGATTTTCTTTTTCGTGAATTCATGCATTCAACGAAACTAATATGCATCGATTACTGACCGCATAATTTAACCATCTACGGCATATTTGCGATAGATCTACAGGTCTTGAGTCAATTTGTTTGATTAACTACAATGTAAGAATCACTTTGATGTCCATCATCACTCAATTCATTTAAGTTCTCTCCATTATTAGGAGTTCATTGTAAATAACAAAATTTTGATTTGTAGATAAAGTGATCAATGAACCTTCAATTTCTTGAACTCAAGAGGTGCTATCCATCTCATCAGAGGACTTGAGTTTAAGAAAGGGAATTTGTATAATAGTTTGTTAATTTGTTTATATAAAAAAAAATTTCATCAAAAATTTGGTTCATTTGTCATTATATGTACTCTCGAGAAAAAAATGTCAAAATTTCAGTAGAGCAATTTCTGTCAAAGTTGAGTTGAAAAAATTGGATTTTTCGATCTTGATAGAAAATTTGTTTTAGTGTGTGGAAGAAGTGGCAAGCCACTGAGTGCACTTTTGTGCCAATACTAGCGTAAAGTTGAATTTTAAGCTGACAATTTCAAATCTTAAAAATAGTACATGAGGACGTCTAAAAGCTTCTCTATAAAGCGAAACTCCAAATTGCCGCACCTCCAGCGCGGTTTAACATGAAGGTTTTTTTCTAAGTATGCTCAGGGATCAGTATCCAACTTAATTTTGAGTTTTTGTAAGTTAAGGCCTGGTCTCAACAGTGCAACTGTTTTAGGAACAACACGGAAAAAATGATACTTATTGCTGATTTAACAATTTTTTAGTTAAAAATTCCGACTTATTTCAAGGTAGATTTTACCAAAAAAAATGCTAATATAACCACCTCCTTGGTTACATTATACTTAGCTTTCCACTAATGTAAAATTTACATTTGAAACTTGTAATAAATATTTTTTAACAATTCAATTGTTAAAGCAGCAATATATTCCTTCTGTGAAGATGCTGAACAAAAATGTTTCAACTACCTATAAGAGAAACTTCCAAGGTCAGAAGCCTCGATTACTTTAGTTGTGCTTCTGACCTTGAAAGTTTCACTTATAGTCTAGACACTTTTGTTGATCACTAAGTTCTTGGAACAGTTGCACCATATCTCCGCAATAGTTGCACACATTGTCGAGACCAGATCCGTCGGTGGATCCAGGACCTTTATTTAGGGGATAGGAGCAGAAGGGCATTTTGCATAGGGAGGTCATGAAAAAACTCTTTGTCAAAGGGGGGTTTGGGGTTTTCCGATCTCCGGGGGGGGGGGGGGAGGGGGATTTCCTTAGCCTCAAATAGAGGGTTGCTGAGGCCTTCCCTGGTAATTTTGCATGATAAATCGAGTTATCTCAGGAGCAATTCTGAGCTGTTCTAACCAAACAATTCATCGAAATAAAATTGATTTTATAAAATGTCACAATTGCAAAGCAACCTCTCCCATTTTTCTTGGGAGGTACCAGCCCCCCCCCCCTTCCTCCCCATACTCGTTCCGCCTACGACCAGGCCCCGAGTCCCGTTTCTCGCGAACGGTCGCAATCGAGTATTTTCAAGTTCCCTCCCCCTTTTTTCCTCCAAAGTCTGATGACAGCAGTTTTAGCAGAAAAAATTAGCTGTGTTTGCAACTTTCCCACGGGCGAAAGTGGGATTTTTCCGGGCCAATTGACAACTGGGGCGGAAGCGCAGTCCGATTAGCGTAGCGATGCCGCAGTCATCGAGCAGTGCCCATTGCAGCCGTGGGCGGGGGAGGGGGGGGCGTGTAAAATGGGAGAACCGTACTGCTGTGCTAAGGAAGAACGCCGTATGAACATTCGAGAGTTGCCAAATTTCCCCGAATAAAACATGTACCTTTGAAGAAAGTTATGCGTCGTTTTCCGCAAAAGTTTCAGATATTTTAGATGGAGGGTATGGATTCGATCGACATGAATCGATCGAAAAATGAAAACGTGAATCGATCGACATGAATCGATCGACACCGATTCGATCGACAAATTGGTAAAAAACCGGTGTCGATTCGATCGACATGAATCGATCGAAAAATGAGAACGTGAAACGATCGACATGAATCGATCGACACCGATTCGATCGACAGTTAATTCAAAAACACCCGTATCGATTCGATCGAATCGGTGTCGATCGATTCACGTCGATCGATTCACGTTCTCATTTTTCGATCGATTCATGTCGATCGAATCCATACCCTCCTTTTAGGTTCAATCGTGAACTAAATCTCTGATAAACTGGGGGGAAATACTCAGAATTTTCCTGATAAATTTGTCGGTTATTCAAGGAGGTATGGCAAGGCCTGGAGGTTCATACTGCGTTTTCCTGAGGACGGCAGCGTGGTCGGGTCCGAGCGGGGGCACGGTTGCATTTCTCAGGGTCGGACGTGGGGCACCCGGAGCGGCGGATGACGTCAGCGCTGCCCAATCTGGCAACGCGCAGGCGCCCGACCACGACGACCCCACGCTCGCCGCCCAGTGGCCCCAGTTTCATAGCTCTCGGTCTCTTAGCCAGCATCCGCGGAACTAGGAACTTTTTCGGGGTAGGGGGGAGGGCAGAAGGCAGGGAATACCGGGAATTGACAGGGAATTTTGGAAAGTTAGGGAAAACTTGGGTATGTCAGGGGAAAAGGCAGAAGGCAGGGTCGCCGCACAGTCAAGAAATACCAGAAATTGTCAGGGCATTTTGAAAAGTTAGGGAAAATCTGGGGATGTCAAGGAAAAACGCAGAAGGCAGGGTCGCCACAGTCAGGGAAAACCTGGGAATGTCAGGGAGAAAGGCAGAAGGCAGGGTCGCCATAGTTAGGAAATACCGGAAATTTTCAGGGAATTCTGGAAAGTCAGGGAAAACCTGGGAATGTCAGGGAAAAGGGCAGAGGGCAGGGTCGTCACAGTCAGGAAATACCGGAAATTGTCAGGGAATTTTGAAAAGTCAGGGGAAAATCGTTAAGTCACTTTTGTTTGCTTTCTCGGGTGGGTCTGACGTGTCGGACAACAAATTTTGCCCGAAAAGCGTTTCCAACTCTGTCTTCGTAACAATCTGACATTTGTTCAATTGTCAGGGAACTTTACCAAAATGTGTCAGGGAAATGTCAGGGACTTTAATTCTCTAAATTCTGTAGCAGCCCTGAGAAGGGAGAAGGTCCAGGGAACACGAAAAATCACCTCGTCAAGGGGCACCCGTGGGTTTCTTGCTTAAGCCTCAAAGGAGTTCCGAGAGGCTTCCGTAGACTTTTGAACATTTGAGTCGTCTGAGGAGCTATTTTTAGCTTTTCTCATCAAAAATTGACCAAAATCTTATGTCGAAGGTGATCACGCCCTTATTTTTTTAAATTTCTTACATTTTTTGGAGAGGCCAAGTAGATTTTGAGAAGGGGCAGCCCCCCTCCCCCTCCACCCCATACAAGTTCTGTGCATGTTTCCTCATCTAACGAACCAAGTTGGGTTGAACAGAAAATGGTAGAATTGACTAGTTGGGTTGAATGTAATTTACTGGTAGACAAGATATGCGATCAACATAAGAAACAAATCCACGAATGTACGTATAATCACTTCTATTCCTGCACGGAAGATGGCCTACCTCGAAAAGTGAAGGCGTTAAAGCAATTCACGCAATTCTGTCCGGAGAAAGCCCCAAATTTGTAGGTAACTATAAATATATAGTTTTATATATTTCGGCACGGAGTATGTCCCTACTTTGGCCTTTCTCGAAAAATGAAGGCGAAATGGCGATTTGCGTCATCTCCTCCGTCAATGATTCCAATTGCCCATGATTTTTGGTCCGAAATAAGCCCCGAATTTTTGACCGTTTGCAAAGGTAAATCCTCGGTCATGTAACTTTTTCCGCACGGAGTATGTACTCTGGCCGACCTCGGAAAATGAAGGCGAAATGACAATTTGCGTCTTTCCCTTCTCTCGGGGTGTCTAGCATCAGGATTTTCCCGATTCTATCAGGATTCGAGGCCAATCAGGATTTAATCCCGATTTCATCAGGATTAGAGGAAAAATCGGTCGTCGAATCAGGATTCGAGAAAAGCCGGCCGTCTGATCGGATTTTTTTATCGAGCCATTTTTGTGAAGTCACATTCGCCTATTTTCTCACTCCACAAAAAATCAGGATTTGGAAAAATTATGAAATCAGGATTCAGCAGTCTAAAATCAGGAAAAATGAGGATTTAGCAGTCAAAAATCAGGATTTCCAGAGATGGCAAAAACAGGGTGTCTAGCATCAGGAAAAATCGGAAAAATTGGAAAATATCAGGAATTTTGGCCGATCAGGAAAAAATCGGGCGTTTTATCAGGAATTTTTCTTACGCGAATCTCCTCAGCGGAGAAGTCTCACTGCTTTTTGCCTACCGTGCCAGGAGTCATCGCTCCGTCTTTGTAGAAAAATCAGGAATTTTCAAAATGAAAAAATCAGGCATTTTTTTATAAAATATCAGGAAAAATTAGGAAAATATCAGGATTTTTCAAAATTTAAAAATACTAAACATCCTGAAAAACTTGACACCCTGAATTGATTCGAATTCACCTTAATTTTCGGTCCGAGAGAACCCCGAATTTGTGAGCGTTGCTAAATTTCCCCTCGTGTGATTTTTGAACGACACGTGGCGGTTGCCAACCCACGGTGCGACGAACTTGCTGGAGCGGGCGAGCTCCGAGGATCCGCTGGAAGAACCGTAAAACAACAGTCGAGTTCACTCTTCACCTCTGCTCACTGGCGCCCATGATGACCGAACACTGAGCGATCTCGCATCCGCATACTCAAGTCCAGCCCGATTATTTTGATTCCAAGCTACGAAGCCTCTCGCCATCTCAAAATGGGTAAGTTTATTTTAAAAAAAACCCCTCATTCGAAAAATCTCGTCAGTATAAGTTTAAAACTCAGGCCGTGAGCTGCCTTTGCCCGTGTCTTTTTTTCCTAACCAACTGTTCAAGTCTCCAGCTCGATTTCATTCCGAGATCGCTCTTTATCAATACGGTTCAGCTCGGACCCAAAATGTTTCGCAAATGCCTTCGAATCCTCGTTTTTTGGTCCCTTTGCAACGGCTAGCCCTTTTATTATGATGTGTGTGTCTTAATTTAGAATGATTACGGCACACTTGTTGAGCCTATCACGACATTTCGTCATAGTGCCCCCAGGGCACCTTCTATTCATGTGTCATTGGCATCAGTCAATTGAGTGATTTTTTTGGTTTTAATTTGTTTTTCAGGTATCTTACCATGGATTTTAGGCCTTCTTACGCTTCTGGTAAGTGTTTTTTAAATAGGTAGTTAAATCATTTTATCCAGATATCATGAGATCTGTGCCCTTTCATCATACTCAATCCACCCACGTATGGACATACAGGGTTATTCAAAAGTCACGCACCACTGGCTGTGAGGGAGCTGGCCATTTGAAATTTCTGAGTTGCCCCCTCCCCCCTCCCCCGAGGGGTTCAAAAACTGGAAAGGACCTAGAAGAGTTTCCCCCTAGATATGAGGAAAAACATCTTAAAGCGAAAGTCGATATCATAATTAAAACTAAAGTTATGGCCAGTGGTGCGTGACTTTTGAGTAACCCTGTATTTTTAACTGGTCGTCAAATATTTCTGAAAATATTGATCTCAGCCCAGAGTTTTCTTTCTCACTCTTTAATCATTATTTTAGGATCTGTATTGGTAATTTAATAAGGTACCCTCACATGAAAAAATTCAAATATTTATTATAGTACTCATCAGGTTGTGGGTAGTTTGATCCTGATGTCAGTCTTTTTACTTTAAAGCCAATGTGGGCAGTAATCATGAATCTGCCTTTACTTTTACGATTCTTACCGTCATCATTTTTGCTGAGCCTGGGGACATCCAAACAATTTCAGTAATGTAACTTAGTCTTAAGCTTAATGGTTGGATACACTAAATTAAAGAAAAAATGTCTAAATTATTTTTTTAATTTTATTTTCACTGAAAAATCCATCTTTGTTCCAAGCTAGAAAAAAGTACTGAGAAATTTTAATTTCGACACTGATATTAATCAATTTCTTAAGACTAGAGTTTAAAGTGAATTAGGAATTTTAGTACATTTTTTTTAAATTGTGTCGTATTGATGACAACGTTGCATGTCTCTCTTGAGTAATCTTGGTGTTAATTAGTTAGGAATTGTTTCTCTGATGAGTCCTTTTTTTTCTGAATCAGGTAACAGTTAACGCAGGTGACATGATGAGAAAATCCATTGTTTTTGACAAGAAAACTCCGGGTGTATTTTACTGTCCTCTTCAAAAACCCACAGGTAAATATGTCTTTAACGTGAAGTTTCTGCGAAAAAAGTTTCAAGTCTACAAATCATATCATTAAATTTATTGCTATAGTCAAGGCTTATAAACCAAAGCCCTATTTTTTCAAATTCTCGTCAAAATGTTTCATATGGTTTAGGTTGATTTGGTCTTCTTGTGGTCAGAGAGTGACCCTTGTACATTAAGGTAACCACCTTCTAGTTCCTGCAATACAGAGGGCCCAGGTATCCTGGTCCTTGGGGCTTCCGGCTGCAGCATTTTTTTTTATTTAATTATTGGATATGACTCCAAAAGTTGAGCCTTTTTCTTAATGTAGGACCCCTCTGATTTTTTTCTCGTTATTTCTTTTAACTTATTGTTTGTTACAGGGTTCCAGTCTTCTAATTCAGTATTATCAAAAATCTTACTCTTTTTAATCACCTTAAGGATTTTGAGCTTTTCGTAAAAATTTTAAGGACCATTATATATACAGGGGAGGGGGAGGGGACAAAGAAAGAGAGAGGTGAGGAAAGGGAGGTGAGAGGGTACTTTTGAAATATGATTGGAAACAGAAAGAAGCCCAGGAAACTTGTTTGAAGGGAGGCTCAGCAATACTTTGTCACGCCATCGCACACTTGTTCACTTTACAGTCCATGGAAGAAATGGGCTTTGCTGGAGAGAAATCCATCAAATTTTTTAGTATCATCCAAACCTGAATGCTCAAAATTAAGCGTTACGTTGTATCTTTTCTGAGAAGAAGATGATACTGTGTCACAGTAACTAGAATACCTCAACCTCATCCTTGGTTTTTTTTTGTACGTCTTGTTTTCTAACAAAGTCCCTGTTGCTTTAGGTTTTGAGAAGATGTTCGTTCATGCCAAGCCTATCAGCAAGTTATGCGAATTTGATGGGAAACCTCTACCAGCTGACTACAAATCAGATTGTTATCATGATGTCGATGAAACAGAATATGCATGCAAAGAAAAGTACAGGATAATGGTATGATTCATTTGTTTTTTATATAATTACATAATCTCATTAAGTAACTAACTCAATTAAGAGAAGGCTGAGACTTAATTCTTTGAATTTGATGTGAACTTGGCCAAGTCTCTCACAAGTAAGATTACAATAATGAAAAGTACTTAGTTTAGTACCAGCTGCTTGTTGAAACAACAAAATATTATTGCCCAAATTACTTTTTCTCAGAAAAAATCTTTGAAAAATCAGAGCCCGTGTATGCATTTGTTATTTCTCAGAGCTCTGTGGCTATACAGTAACAAATTAACTAGCTGACTTCAACATTTGTCATCATGACTGAGCGCAATTACATTTGCAGACAGTGTCATGATGACCATGCAAGATTTGAAAACACTCAAACTGCAGAAAGATGCTACCCTTTTTCTGAACCATTTAACAGTGTGTGGTGAGATGCAAGCGATTAATTCATAATTCGTGTGACGAATTCAACATTTATTGAACAGAGATTTTCGTCTAAATTATAATGCAGATCAGAATGACCAATAGCAGACTAATACATCCAAATTCTAATGCAAGAAATTTATCCTAAAGTTTTGTGGAAGTCTGGCCTCTCAAATTTTATTGCCCCAGGCATGTTTTCTCAGAAAAAATCTTTGAAAAATCAAAACCCATGCATGCATTTGTTATTCTTCAGAGCTTTGGGGCTATCAAGTAGTTATTTATGAAAATCAAAATTTAATGAAATTTCGTTAAACATCATACCTATGCTAGACACATTCCAGGGTCTTTACGACTTCCCCCTCTGTAGGATTGATTTAAGTGGGTCAGTAGAGCAGAAAATAAGCGCTATGCTGCCATGCTAAGGAAGAACGCCATTTAAACATTCAAGAGTTGTCAAACTTCCCTTGATAAAACATGTATTTTTGACGAAATTTATGCATATTTTTCCTTAAAATTCTCAGATGTCTTAGATTAAATTGCGTACAATATTGTCTGAAAATTTTGGAACAAAATACTCACAATTTTCGCAGTAAATTCGGTTTTTATCGAAAGAAATTTGGCAATGTCTGAAGACTCATACAGCGTTTTTCCTTAGCCCAGCAGTATGGAGGAAGAGTCGCGAGGACCCCAGAATTTTTCAGCACACTGTCTCTTAAAGTATGGAGTTGTATTAATTTTTTTTTTTTCAGAATCATTTTACCATGGAGGTTACCAAACTAGTCTTTGTTTTTACTTTTAAAAAGTAGTCTTCAGATGGACACTTGAGTCTGGATAATGTCTGTTACACTTTCTTTTTCCTTCCATCATTAAGAATTAAAATTAAACCAGTATAATACATATAAGACCATAAAAAGTCTGAATTTACTCATCTTACTCGACAGTTCCTTTAAATTTCATGAGAGTCAATTACTGGTTACACACATCATTTAGATGCTACTGAGCAAAAATGATGATTATACTTCGGAATTGCATGCTTGAGAAAACATACCTAGAAGCACACAGTTTTGCTTCTATCAGCTAGGACCAGTATGTTGAACCAGCAAGATGAAACGATGATTCATGTCATTCCGCTAGATTTATCCAGTGAATTCATTTGATATTTACATTAACAGCAATTTAATCAACATATTATTTTTGACAGACTTTTTTGAATTGCATGATTGTAATTAGCTGTTAAACTAATTTGCTAGTTTACCAGGAAACATCAGTAAATACCAAAAATTCTTTCACTATTCATATGAACCATTAGATAGAACATACAATAACCCTCTAGAGACACTCTAAGTTCCCTCATCACAATTTTAACTTAAAACATAGTATTTACCTACTGAAATTCTCAACTTTATTTGGTGGTTCATTTCTGATGTTTCCATTGCAATTTTAATTTTATGTGCCACGCCGATTTGGTGTTCATGCTGTATAAGCTTTTAATTTATGTGGCAGGTATTCTAACGTTCTGTACATAGTGTATTAATTAACTATTTGGATTAGTGTCAATCATTTAATATTGTGTTTAGTATTGTTAATAAATTAACTGTATATTTAACACATTTCAAATTTCAGAAGAGGTACGCCAAAAAAATCGATCAGTCCGCTGTCAAAGAAGATAACATTAAAACGGAAACATAAGGTACCAATTCAAACGTTGATTGCGCGGACTTTGTGAAACTCTCTTACCAAAACTGTCTTAACGCACCTACAGTTGCGTTTGTGTGCATTTAGAAAAAAATCTTAGACTCTTTTCTGTCAACATTCTTCGCAAAAGTGAGGAATGTTTCATTCCGCATGTGGTGATTGCCTAAAATATTTCATTGGCCAATGAATACTATAGTAGCAGGCTCTTATTAAGCCTCAGCCTACGGACCTCTGAATAAAATCACACGCTCAGGGAGGTGCTAAATTTCACCACTGCATCAACATTTCTTTACTTCTTTTCTATCTAGTCAAGCAGTCTATCATCTAGTCTCACTCAAGCAGCGATTGGATTAAAAACGTGAAATGGAAACTTCATTGCATAATTTTGTGTTTTAAAACTCAGAGCCTCCTCTTGGGTGTCATGAATATTTGATATTTTTCCTGTCCTTATAATTCTTTCACTGAATAGACATACTTTTTTGCTATTATCACTACTGCTTAAACCTTGGGTATACTGCTGGGTACTACTTGGGGTATTTTTGGGTACTGGGGCTACTTGGGTTCTTAGCATGTTCGTTGCGTATGACTGTATCAAAATCTTGGCAGATTTTTGTTTTAATCAATGCAATACATTGACAAACAGTTCGACCTTGTCAAGAACCCAAAATAAATGTCCGTAAGTCGTGCTTGTAGAGTAATCGATAGTTCAGCTATAACTTTTGAACTAAAATCTCCAATGCAAAAAACGTTTTTGTGAATTTGGGAGAAACAAGGTTATAGTTTGAGAATTACATTAAGTCTTATAATCAGTGAAAAAAATGTTACATATGTCGCAGAGCTGAAAATATTTAGTTTTTGAGGTACCGCGCTTGCAATGTTTGTTTACCTAGGAACAAAATCTGTTCAAAATTTCTAATTTTCTCAAAATTCTCAATTTTTGAAAAATGACATACGTATTTTCTTCATTCTTTGGAGGTTTTAATGGTTTGCATGCCTTTCCTTTTTCTCTTTTTTGCTTGATTGCATGAAATTATTGGAGCACCCTAGTAGCAATGATTTGAAATACCAATGGTGTAATTCCGCAACCACGTATCTCGGTTTGTGACGTTGCAGACTTCCTGTCATACTTTATTTTTTAAATGGAAAACCACTGAACGGAAATCCTCAAAAACTGCCGTGATTTTTCTTCTCTGTGCGGAGGAAGTCCTGCAAAAACTTCAAGGAATAATGTGATTTCTTCTCTCTTGAAAAAAATTAAATAGTGGCTGAGATTTTCAAACACTGCAAATGCGATGCGTCGTTGCGGACTTACACCGTCAACATAGACTATATGTACTCATAGAATTGTTTTTTCTCTCAAGTCATCAGAAATTCAGTGCTCTGTGAGTGGGTATGAAACCAAACTAGATTATCTCCGCAAGGTATTGTGATTGCTTTTGCTTCTTAGCTTGTCATCAGCTGCTGGCATTTCTCTTTTCTAACATGACTGTATATTTGCATCATTATTCATTGCATCTCTTTACGTTCTCTTTATGTCTCTTTATGGTATCTCATCAGAATTGGCTCTCCATTTTTTTATTTCTGTTTATGAATAAAAATATCTCATGTTTTAATTTCATTATACAGACTACTACTGAAATATGATCTGTACTGCGGTGTCATTCGAATTTTTTTGGGAAGAAATTTTAGGTAGAATGAGTTGAACTGATGATAACTAAGCTGAAGTCTGAAGATAATCTGAAGTTTACCAAACCTATCAATGGAGATTTTACTTGAATAATTGATATTTATTATCAGAGACTATCTATCTACAGCCCTTCAACGATTACAGTAAATTACACGGATAATATTTGTAGATTTTTTAATTCAAGGAAAATTTTAGGGCTGGGTGAATACGGTTTTTTTGCCTGAAATTGAATCGATTTAAAAAAAAAGAAGTTCGATTATCGAATCGATTTAAATCGAATATTTTTACCTATTTCTGATCAGAAACACTTCTTTGTCATTGAACTCAAAGAAAAAATGTTTGATGTTGTTTTAATTAATATAGTAAATACTTTCTCTTTACGTTATATCTTGTGTTTCAATACATTTTATTTAAATTTGGGCACTGAAAGTATTTTCTTGGTGCAAATTTTCTAGTATAGTTCATAGACAGAATCACAAAAAATAATTAAGTTTAAAAAGAAAATCTAGTATTTATACTATCATTGCTGAAGATTACAGAATCAGAAATAAATAAATTCATTAGATTTTTATTTGGGCAACGTTTTTATACATAGTCCGATTTGCTGTGGGGAGAAAAAATACAGAATTACCAACGTAAATCTCAAAATAATGATTTAGGTACTAAAAAAAAGTAAAAAATGAGATCAACAAAAATGAGCAATCTCAATCATTGAAAAATTAGGAAAAGAATGATGTATGATGATTTTGTACTAAGTTATATAAATGATGGAATAATGTAATATTCGAGGTTTTCAAGCTCGAGTTCGAATCGAATATAAAAAAAAATATTCGAACTCGAATATTAGAGATTTTCGAATATTCGCTCAACCCTAGAAAATTGAATGCCACAACTCTAACATCGGTACCGTAAAAAATAGATTGTTTCATTATTTTCTGGACAGCAATTTTAAATGAAAAGCAAAATGGCCCCCTAAGAAAATCAAGCAAAAAATTTAGACATCTTCACCCCGCATAACTACACATTTGAGAGAAAAAACAATTTTTGTCATGACATGATATCTTGAGTCGCTACTTCAAGTACTTGTTCTCAGAGATGATTCAAATATTTTTCCATCTAAAACTGGAAAGGACTTTTCCTAATTTTTGATTTCTGCTCTCTTGAAAAATCCGTCGAAGGAGGTGAAGGCTCGTCTCCCCATCTTATTTATCTTCAATGTGTATTTTTTTTAAAAATTTTGTTCTTAATTCTTTTAGATGCGGATGCACCCTCCGGGCGCACTGAATGATACAGAGGCTGCAAAGTGGGAAAACGCATACAAGAAAATGCTGAAAAAGAGGAGTCATCGCCGAAACTTCCGCCAGGAGGTCGTCAAAATAAGGAGGAAAAACTAAATTTAACTATACCTTTTCTCTGTCTATTCCATGTAGCTGAAATGGGTTCGCTCCTAAATTTAGGAATCCACAAAAGAATCAAAGAATGAAGTTTTCCATTAAATCTAGTCCTTACAGCGTTTACTCCCTGCCAATGTGAGAGAGTAAACAAAATATAAGTCTGAGATTCTTGTCATTCAGCTTGGTGGAACTTTAATTTCCTGATAATGTTTTTGGAAAAATACCTCTCTTACTAATTGTTAAAACTTTTCTGCAAGCTAGGAACCTCAGATGTAATGAATTGATACATTTCAGCAGATAATCGTGATGAAACTTGCTTAACCCCTTAGAAACTTTAACAAATTAACACTTGTATTAATTTGTAGAGTAGGCTTTTCCAACATAGCAGAAAGTAGCCGTTTTGTGGCATTTTCAGGTTGAAAATAATTTGGGCGTAACTGTATGAACTTTTATCATTTATGACTGGAATTTTTTGTAATTTAGAATTTTTAATCAAGTCTTTCCCTGTCATTGGTTGAATCACTTGATTTAGCATCTTATTTGGAAAAGCAGTTTCTATTGCCAGTGTGAATTTTTCCCCGCAGTTTCGGATAATCGTGACTGAAGCTTTGCTGAAACATCTGTCCAGTCCTCTTCAAATCTTGAAATCTACTTATTAGTCATAGAATGCATTTACCCCTCAAAAACCAAACAGCTACCATAACAGCTAATATCATCTTTGTGATTCTCCTGAACATCCTCCATCTCTAAAATTCTCTAAGACAACGCCTTCCAGTGGGATTTCCCGTTATCAGTATCTATTCCTCAATTTTTAGCCATCAGAAATGGTTAAAAGGAACGTCATTGTTCAGTTTCTTGTTGTCTCCTCGCTTCTCTAAACATTTTATGTAGAAGAAATTTTTAGAAGGATTTTTTCTGCACATTTATGTTCAGAAAATCTTCTTCAGAAGTTTTTGCAATTCTGTATTTGTTCCCACTTTATATCTTGTGTTAAGTACTTACCAACAATGGAACTAGAAGACGATGCATCTCATTTTTCAACTACGCAGACTCTCTGGCATGCATTACTCCTAAATGGATAATTATACAGCGCAATTCCTTCTAAACGGGAGTCTTTCCTTGCTGAACAGAGAATATTCTGTGAACACTTTCAGCAACTATCTTAATTTGCTGTCCTTTAAAAAATAAATTTTATTGTAAAATTTTCAACTCCAATATTAGGGGGCAAGTTATTCTAGTTTCATCAATGTCATACAGGGTGATCGAATAGTCCTGCACCATTCCTATGTCCCCTTGGGCTCTTGCCCTGCTACAGTTTGATCTCTTTTAAATTTTGGGTGTCCAAGAAGTACGTTCCCTTGATCTAGGGGCATTCACAAAATTTCAAGTCTCTATCTTAATGCGTTCAAAAGTTACTCGCACGATGCCTGGTGCTAGTGGTGCAGAATTTTTTTTGGATCACCCTCAATTTTCTTAAGGACTATTCTTTAAGCTCTAAACTGTGTTCTATACATGTGCCTTTGCACAGTCTGTTCACTGCCCCTTTGGATGCCAATATGATCGTCATGATCATTTGTTGGCAACAACTGAAAACCCTTTTGAAAAAAGAACCTATGAAATTATGGGCATGTCTTACATGGTCTGTGGAAGATAACCTGTTGGGTATCACTGTTTTGTAGGCCTTTTTTCTAAGAGGGTCCTCAGTTCTCGTAACGAAGAAGTGTGGTACATAGTTCTTTTCGGCCCTTGGTGCCATAAAAATTAACACTTAATTATGCCGTCTACAAATTACACTTTAAGTGCGTTATAATTTTTAAGTTTTCTTTTTTTTAATGAAATTTTCAGGTCCCAAAAAATCATTGTACAACATTGTTTTTCAAAATATTTATTTCTAACCATTAAATTTTTTTTTTCTAATTACTCCTGTTGTAATCCAATTTATTTGCCCTTCCTATTCATTTCTGTAACTTTCAGTTGACTGTTTTAGTTTTAAAATTGAAGCAGCCAAACTGCGATTGTATAATTTTAGATTTCTGGGATGTCAGTCTTATCAACATTCAGCCAACCTTAGATTTTTCAGTAACTTTTCTATAGAATTTTCAAAATTGTTTATTTTTTGGGATACACATAAAATCATGGTGAAATACATTTGTTCAGAATCTGACCACTGTTTTACGTCTTCTAAGACGAAATGTGAATCTTTCAATTTAGTTGTATCTTTCTACCATCCAAGTTAAAAAATTGAACAGGGTTCTAGTTCCTACAGAGTGTAAAAATTACCGCTCTACTTTCAAAGCAAGTTGTCTCAGATATTTCTGATCGCACTACAGTTGTTAAAAGAGGAACTTTTTCGCACTGAATTCTTCTAAAATTATCTTGAAAATACAATAAGAAAATTTCAAAAAAATTTTGTGCAAAACAACGATGACTGTTGGTCATTCTTCCATGAAGTAAAAAATGAAAGCAAATTTTTAGCTGTAACTTTTGATAGTTCATTTCCTGTTTTGAAAATCGTCCCAAAATTTGTTTTAAGATTAAAAATAACGAATAGCACAAGAATACTTAGCCGGATGGACTTTGAAAGGCACCAAAATCACATTTTTCAAGTACCCAAATGAGTGAGGAGTGGTTTTGAGCTTAAGGTGATTCGTCAAGCTCAAGTGACGTGGTCGAACTGGCATGCGATATATCGCATCAATTAGGTAAAAAAATCTCGGCAGGTTTTGAATTTTTAGAAAAAGAAAAGGAGGATAGCCCCTGCGCACTAGCCTAAAGAATCATTCTAAACCCAAAGATTGGCCCAAGTCAAAGCAATGAAAGCAGAATAGTGTTAGGAAAAAAACCTCACATTCGATACAGAAATCGATAGCTGAATCAGATGTGAGATTTTTCTTCAAACACTATTCTACTTTCATTTCTCTAAATTTTGCCAATTTTTCGGTTTTGAACGATTGCTTAGGCTTACGTGCAGGGGTTCTTGTCCTTTTTTTGCTAAAAATTCAAAATCTGCCGAGATTTTTTACATAATCGATGCCATATATCGCATGCCAGTCTGACCGTGTCACTTGAGCTTGACGAATCACCTTAAGTAGCTGTCAGCACATTATCTCCTGATAAAATTCTATAGTAATCGAGGAACAATATGTTAACTGTGAAAATAAGCGTATCTGTACTATTGAACAATATATCTGGGAGAGGCGTGGATGCAACGCCTTAGAATCATTTTGAAGTTCCCGCCTCTTCAAACGGGTGGTTTCCGGTCCTCATATGTATTATGTTTCCGGTTCGCACGGACACACGGAACGGAACTGATTGACCAATGAGATGAGATCAGGATCAGTCGGTTCTTTTTCACTCACGTTCCCCTAATGATGATGATGCAATATTATGACATTTGATGCAATCTGCAATCTGCATGAGTCATAACCGGTCATAACCCTTGCATTATAAATACCAGTGAAATCATGAGCGCAACGTTAGTGTAGTGTTCGTTCAGTGTCAGGCAGTGCTCGTCTTCCGCCCTATAGTGTTAGTTCTCGGAGCTCTCAGTTTTCAGTAGATGTGTTGTGGTCGCGCAGTGCTGGCTGTGCAAGTGTTTATCCTCTGTTCAGATTGCTCCTGTTGTGCCTTCGGTTAGTTTTTCTGCCAGCCCTCTGCTTTCAAATAATATACAACTGCATAGATTCCCCTGTCATTATTTCACTGCCATTCATACCAGCTTCAATTGGATTCGCACTGACAGTGTGCATTGAACCCCATAGCTCTGTGGTCCTGGATTTTACTATCTCTTCTCCTACTCGAAGACATTTTTCATTTGATTCCCGAAGTCACTAGTTGTTCTCGTAAGTTTGTCTCATCCAATCATCCTACCTTTTTCAGCAGGTACATCAATTGAGCACCTGCTATGGATAGAGACGAAGCCCTAATTTTACTGCGATCAGCAGTTGGAAACCCTGCCGCAACATTCAAAGAAGATCAGTGGGAAGCAATCGATGCATTGGTCAATCACCGTAAGAGACTACTAGTAGTCCAACACACAGGATGGGGTAAGAGCTCCATCTATTTCCTAAGCACCAAGATTTTTCGGCAACAAAATTTCGGGCCGACTATAATTATATCCCCACTTTTGGCACTCATGAATAATCAGATTGAAACTGCCAAACGCTTCAATGTAGTAGCTGGCTCTTTCAATTCCACCAACTGGGAAGAGAGGGGAGCTCTTACTGAGAGGGTTCTCAACAATGAGATTGATTGTTTGTTAATTTCTCCAGAGCGACTGTCAAATGATCGGTTCATGTCTACTATTTTTTCACGAATCTGCGAGAAAATCGCTCTCCTAGTAATTGATGAAGCCCACTGCATTTCTGTTTGGGGCCATGACTTTCGCCCGGACTATGGCCGAATCATTGACATTCTTCAATTGCTGCCTGCTGATGCAGCAGTAGTCGCCACCACAGCAACTGCCACTCAGTCTGTCATTGACGATCTGAAATCTCAGCTAGGTGAACTTCATATTATTCGTGGTTCATTATACCGCGAAAGCCTTGCTTTGCAAACTATGAAAATTTCAGACCCTGCTTTGCAGCTTGCCTGGTTGGCGAAAAATATTCCTAAACTTGAGGGTTGTGGCATAATGTATGTGCTACGAAGAAGGGAAGCTGAGGAAATGGTGAAGTGGCTTAATTATAATAATGTCAAAGCAGATCTTTATCACGGACAACTCAGCGACTATACTCATCGTCAGCGCCTTGAGAATCGACTCCTAAACAATGAGTTAAAAGTGTTGGTGGCCACTTCAGCGCTAGGAATGGGGTTTGACAAACCTGATCTGGGTTTTGTTATTCATAGCCAAGCCCCAGAATCTGTCATCACTTATTATCAGCAAGTGGGACGGGCTGGGCGTGGCATTGATTATGCCGTAGGAATACTCATGCTGGGAACCAAAGAGGAGGGCATACATGAGAATTTTCGAAGAACTGCTCTCCCATCAGAGACTGACATAAGAAAAATTGTAGAAGCACTGGAAGAAAATAATGGCCTAACACTTTATGATATCAAGAGCCAAGTTAATATGAAGCAGGATAAGATTGAGAAAACTTTGAAATATCTAAGTGCTGAAAAACCTGCTCCTATTAAAAAAGACGGAAACATGTGGTATAGAATGCCTGTTCCTTTCAACATGAACTCTTCCGAATTCAAAGGCCTCTGCTTAACTCTTCGTCGAGAGAAGGAATGGAAACGTGTATTGGAGTACATAGATCATCAAGGGTGCAAAATGAACTTCTTACAAGAAGAATTAGATGACCCAGGTGTTCCAATAGCTTGTGGAAAGTGTAACTCCTGTGTTCAAAGGCTCATCGTTGATGAGCCCGTTGATGCAGACTTAGAAGAAGCCGCCAAGTTTTTCCTAACTAATCCAGACATCACTATTCCTCCTTTCAAGTATGAAAATTCTTTCGAACTACTAGAACCTATTTGTCTATTACCTGCCCATACTTCTCCAATATCTTTTAGCTCCTATCCATTTAGGGAGGAATTAGCAGCTGCCCCAGGAAGAGCGCTATCCCTATGGGGAGATGCTGGCTGGAGTAAAATCGTCAGAAGAGACAAATATATAAACAATCATTTTTCTGACCTACTCTGCGATGCCACGGCGAATATGATAGGTGGACGGTGGAAACCTGATCCATTCCCAGCCTGGGTATGCTGTGTGCCCTCCAAAGATCATCCTAACTTGGTACTGTCATTTGCTCAACGCTTGGCCTCAAAGCTAGAACTCCCCTTTGTCAATGCGATTGACCAAATTGCTGACAAGGAACCTCAAAAGGACCAGCATAATAGCGTCCATCAACGGAAGAATTTAGATGGCGTTTTCAAGGTAACGCAGCTTGCTCATGGTCCTGTATTGCTTGTAGATGATATTGTAGATTCCGGTTTGACACTTGCTACTGTAGCAGCATTGTTGCGGGAAGGAAATAGTCAGAAATATGAAGTGTATCCTGTGGCACTTATTAAACTTCGGTAGAAGTTCATTAATCACCGCTGTCAAATGATATTCCTCCAATTTACGTATCCTGTGTATTTTAAGGTAGAATGTGTGCAGATTAGGTACTGATAATAATACACTGTTTTGTTATGGTGAGTAAGAGCGTTGTATGAGTCGTCAGATGTTGCCAAATTTTCTTTGGTAAAATGAGAATTTTCAGGGAAACGCAAGAATATTTTTCTTCATATTTCAGAGAATTTTATTCTATATCTGATCTTAATTATCTTGAAAATCGTAAGAGAAAATTTTCATACCCCTCCTTACAAACATACATTTTACGGGAGGAAATTTGGCAACTCTTGAACATTCATACAGCGTATTTCCTTAGCACGGCAGTATTCTAGTACTTAAGTTTGTACCTTTGCATGTTAAGTCAAACTGAATGACTTGATCATTTTTCTCCCACTATTTTCTATTTTATGGAAAATATGAAATACTTTCATTTTTTAATTCGCACCAACAGAGTGTGCTGTGTGCTGTTCGGCAAAGGAAATTTCACTGCTTACGGAAGGATTCAGCATTGGTTATTTTTTTATTTTTCTTCTTTCGTATGGTGTTAAGACTGCTTATGTTAAGCTCTAAAATTCTACTCTTTGTGAGTAAATTTTGGGTGAAGCAGGGCTGATATGAATTTTTCAACTTTTTAACTTGAGTTTTGCATCACTAAATCAGCGGTCAAGAACAGCTCTTTTTCTTGCTAGCCAGGGAGACTATACTGCTGCGGCTCAATCGTTGAATCGATATTGATACAAATTATTGCTATCAATTAACATTACTCGATAATGATTCATCTATCGACCCTCTACTTTCCTCAATCACCAATCTTCTGTTGTCGCAGTTCTACTCCAAATGCATGTATAAGTGCTGAAAAATTAACTCATAAGCCCTGCCTTCCTTGGAATTGTCACATGAAAAGTGAAATTAGTACTGTCTATAGGGCCTAGGAAATCATGAAAATAAATTGTAAAAAAAATTTGAAATTTAGCTTGCTCGGAAGTCCCTCATAATCTGTGCCATTTCTTCAACTCCGTGAAATTTCCTTTGCATGCGTTTGCCTAGTATTGCTTGTTACTAGAACTTGATCTTTAAGTACCAAAAAATTAGAAATTGAATCCAAAAATAGCTTTACAGCAGTCAATTGGTGTCATTGACAGCTTTCAGTGACTTAGAGTGGACAGAAGCTGTTATTTGTTGATAAGCTTCTATGCTTAAGGTCTTTTGTTCTTTGAGTAATTTTTCATTACTAACCAAGCAAAACCTCTGCATGGCGATATAATGATTAGTTTATGTACGGATCGAGTTTAACAGAGATGCACCAAGCTGCAGTTTGGAGAAAAACTGTTTAAGAGTAGTTTCGAATTAGACTATTCAAAAAAAGGTTCATATATTTTTGAAAAGACTGAATTTCTATCATTGAAAATTGCATCTTTTTTTCAAGTTGAATCTCTCTGACGAACTTCTTTTTATAATTAAAATACTTATTCAAAATGATGAGCTACACAGTTTTATTGCCCAGTTTTTTGTGCATCATTCACTGAGCAACTCTTTCTCTTAGCATTTTGACATTACTTCAGACTTGGTAGGTATTTTTAATTCCTTTCACAAAGTTGTATAGGCACATGGAGATTCCTCAAATTGTGGATTTTTGAACTGGTTTAGGTTTCAAAAAAATGTATGTGTTATTATGTATGCCTTTTCAATCTATTTAATATCAGTATAATTGTGTTTTTTATCTAAGTAAGCTCTGTACCCATCATTGTGTATTTTCAATCTAGGAAAGATCCATATCATTGCACATTTTCAATGTATTAAAAATCTCGATCATTGCATATCTTACATCGATATCTTATTTACATATCTTATGAAGATATATAGCATTGTATCATCGACCTGTTAATTTAAAATGTCTGAGTGTTCGATTCTTCAATTATAGGTATCCGCAATATTACTTTCTTTGGTGCTGTAAGCTTTTCCAAATAAATTCATCTTTTCTTTTTCCAGAAATTCAACCTCTTTTTTTTACCCTTCCTGCTCGTTTGAGAATAACTCATTATAGATAAACTTCTTTCATCTTTTTACAGTCCGTAATTAGAATAATTTTATCTAGTTGTCTGCTCAACTCTGAGTAGAAATTTTTTGACATCTTATTGAATTCATGGCAATTATTTTTATGAGAAATTCCCCTCACTTCACGCAAGAAGACTATCTTGCAAGCCTTCAATCCACTTAAAGTGAAAAAAGTTTCCATATGTGTCAAAAAATTTAACCCGAAAAATTTCTTAACCCTCAATGGCATGGGGTTACCTACTTGTAACCAGCTTTTTGATTTTTTTTTGGGAAATGAAACTCTTCCTCTAGGGCATGATGTTGCCTTTGATGAATTACTTATTATTTGAAAAAAATGATTACTGAAATTTTGAAGAAAAAGTTATGGAATGGATGTTACTGCAAGAGCTACAACATTAATATGAATCCTCCAGGATCCAAGACCCAAAACTTAATTCATACAATAGAGAGTTACGTTTTACCAATAATTCACTTAGGATTTTTGGCATTTCCTTCATTGTCAGTAATTGTTCACATAGTGATAAGACAGAGAGTAAAATAAAATATCAAATTTATTTTTTTCTATACAGTGATTAAAAATAACAATTTCAAAAATGGGTTTGTGATCTCATGTAAGTTCAACGAATTTCAAATAGGGCAAAAATTATTGAGCATTTGTTACTATAATACTCCGGCACCAAACTAAAAGACATTGATTTTGGAGGGGAAAATACATTATTACAAGACGCTATTCCAAAAAGCGAAAATTACAGAACTAGCCTCGTGATGACTCCTGACTTGACAGCAGTTCCAATCCTGAATGCAAATAATAGATATCGCCAGCTTACGATAGCTTTACAACAGATCTTCAGCAGCACAATAATACATTGATATCAGATATCATACATAAACTTAACCAAGACAGAAGACATTAAGGAACAGTTTGGTGCCGAGTAGTACTGAAAGAAAGGGTGAGGGTGTGGTAGAGAGACAGGATGTACATATGAGTGGCCATCTGCTCAGAATTGTAAAACAACTGAAGTATACAGAATTATCAAAACCGTATGGCATCTTGTTCCCTTAAGAATTAGACGCATTCATCACCATGCTGTTCGTACAAGTGCTTCCAAGAATATTAAAATAAAAAATGCAGCTGACATTTACATTACATTTAAGTCTGTAATGGTAGTTGTAATGGTTGCCAACACTGCTTTTAAATCGCTATTGATACAGCTGCTGCGTGATAAAAGAGAAGGTGAAACTCTATTTTGGCTGATAGACAGCACCAATTGCATGTTACTGGCACAGTGATGAATGTCCAATTTATTTATCATTACTTTTAAAGAAAATAGTACGCGTAAGAAAACAACAATTAACCATTGATGGATGACTCTTGAATTGAAGCAGAGAATAACTATTCAACATAATTGATAATTAAAAAGTAGTGGTGATAATTGAGTAATGATCAGGAAAACGCAACATACGCAAAAAACAAAAAAAAACTAGCTAATCCGAGCCGCACTTTCATACTTGGCTGGAGAAATCATGTAATTCTGAAATTAATCAATGGATTCATCTGCAGAAAATAGAACAAATAAAAGAAGGGGGAGTTGGGTTAGGTTACAATGCAAATTAGGCTCCGGCATTAATTGCTGACAAATTTTGAATAACCTTACTGTAAAGGATCACACAAAAGAAGTAACGCATAGAAGGAGGAAGATCACATTTTAGAAAACGATTACTGCAAGAAACCCTAGCATTACAAGGCTGAAACGTTCTGTGATAAAAATTTGAGAGACATTAATTCAACAATTTCAGCAAAAAAGTTAGACCTCTGACTGAACAAGGGTAGGAGACAGAAATGGGGGAGGGAGTGAAAAATCTTTTGAGAGTCGAAAAGAACACACTAGTACCGGATGGCAGTTGGCCGATAGGAATCATTGGAAAAAAACACTTAATACCTAAATTTGGACTACATTTTGCAATTAGGAACAACAATATCTAGCTCAATTGATAAACAACGCATGTACTATTAGTTTCCCTATGCACATAAGTGTTTTTACAGATAAACCAGAAATTGTAGTTCCTTTTTGCGAAATGCCATCCATTTGACTAATTAAAAGCGGGTCCCAGTTCCGCAGCACGGACAGACAAACTCAGTCTTGATTAATGAGTTACAGGGTGACCCGTGCTCCAGAAGGGAGCAACAAATTACAATAACGATTAATAAAGGTATAAAAATATAAGAAAACGAATCACAGCCAAACTGATGATAAGTTTGGTTCATCTTTTTAATAATTGGCAGATTAGATTTAAATTTTGTTACACGCTCTTCCCTCTGCCGAATTTCATCAATTAGACGATGATCGCCAAGGGCAACTGAGTATTTTTATTCTAACAATCGCTAATATCATATTCATGCATTAACATCCAACGGTCAACCGAACAAAAGAGGGAAGAGTACATGAATTTCAGGCGAAAGTCCACCATCATGACATCAGACTACGATTTGAAAGCATAACGCTAAAGGCCCATGAAAAAAAAAAAATTAAATTGTTAATAAATGTTCATTATCACAGATTGAGACGAAACTATTTGCTAGATAGGATGCTGGAGTAAAATTCAAAGGCAAATGACCAGTATTTCAATTCTGGACAGAGCTGACTCTCCAAAACATTACATCACCGCATTACCATTCATTCTAGTCGAGTTCATGTGCTTTCATAAAGACCTTCACGAAAATTTAGCCTCATCGCTCTCTTTTTGAAATTGTTGGCGCAAATTTCCAGAAAATTTCCTTAACCATTTCAACAACAATCTCATGAACTTTCCTGATTTCAAAGAGCAAAACAGCGGATAAAAAAATATATAGCACCCAACTTAATTTTACACACTCGTTACTAGCGAGATGTAAGAATAGGGAGAGGGCACGGATATTAAGTTGTATTTTTTCGTCTATCTAATTCACAGAGCTACTTTAAAAAAATAAAAAAAGATAGTAAAAATGTGTCACATTTGACACTCATAATTGAATAACATGATGAAGGACTACCGGAGAACAGCTTTTAAGCGCCTCATTTGGTTCATAATAACAGTACAAGAAAAAAAAATATTACCTCGTCTGATAAGGTAGGTAATAAAAACCAAACTTTTCGTATCTGTTGGCAGTGACAACAGGTTCTAGATCTCAGAAATTATGTGTCTTGATAAGTTATCAAATTCATGCGGACACAACAGTTCAAAAGAGTAAATCTAAGAGTGAATAAAATCGGTCTGATGACTAGTTAACATCAAAATCTTACTAGATAGCTGTTATTACCCGAAAAACTTAGCACTCGGGACTGACTCTATTTTTTCAAAGAGCATCAAGTAGCGACTAAACACCTTGAAACATAATTTGTCAAAATCAACAGTTAAAATCATCAATTTATCAAGAGAAAATAACACTTGGAAATGTACGGACAGTGGTAACTTGAGACAAGATGGGAAGATATGAATTAAAAAAATCATCTCACGGTTGCGGTGATGCAAGATGAACTAAAATCTCTTGCAAGACAATCATCGACAAGGAATTCTAAATTACATCGACCCCAAAAATTTTCTGAAAATTCTTTTACTTCTATCACTGCACTCCTCAATTATTTCCAAAAGTGATGTATCCTTTGAACTGATTTCATTTATTTTCCTCCAGGCTCCTAGTTTAAAAGGCAATTCCAGTTCTAGGGTGTCTGATTGGCTTCAGTCGCAATTCTTGATTGTACTAGCCGTTTCCCACTTAGCTTGCTGGATCAAAAAATCCCGAGCAGTGAATTCGGACCAATTTCCTAGAGAGTGTTTTAAAAACAAGAGCCGATACACTAAAGTAGGCAGCTTCAGAACAGTTTGGTCCCTGACTCTTCTCCGTACGGTAGAGACATAAACTCTCCAGGGTCCAAGACTTCCCTTAGGCTGAGTACTGCGAGTCGCGCGAGGCACAGAAAACATCTGCAAGGAGCGCTGACCGCTCACGACCACTCGAAGAGCGAGAGTTCTCGGACGTCAGGATCTTCATCGACCTGGGCTAGGAGGCGTAATGATCGTCTGATCTCACGAGTTGGTACAACATCTAAAAACAGAAACGAGATGAGTTAAGATGTCACGATTACATTATGGAATTACAGCAAGACTTCATGCATACACATCTTCGGAGACAGCCAAAAGAAATTGTCAGAATAGAATGTATTATTCCTTCTCTTGAAAAACAAGTCCAGAAAGAAATATGCAAAATCTTGAATGGAGCTAACAGTGTTTATGCTGTGGACAGCAAAAGATAAAACATCATATGTATGAATCTCCGGGATATCTGTTGAATCCGGCTCTATTTTACTAAGCCCGATTCAAAGCCCATACCCCTGGTAAAACATTTACATCTTTCCCTCTTTTAGTACAACTTAATTACCTAGGTAATATTCAGGAATAGAATTTTGCAGCACAATCAAACACGTGATTTAAATGATTGGCTCCTGGATTATGATATACATTGTAAAAATTGGAAGAGAATATGCAATTATCTTTAAAGAAAATTACAGGTTACAAGACATAGGAATCAAGATGACAGGGTTTATATAATTTCTTCGTTTTTCGATTCCTTAACTTTCCCTTGACTCCATAATTTACCAATTACCTGACTTTCGCTAACCTTTGAGTACTTTGACTTCTGCTAAAAGCTGCTCTCAAAGTTTTAAGACTCTACCTGCGAATGCCTTGATTTTTCTGGGTGGCCATAAATTTGCTCACTGACAAAACATGATGAATGATTTTCATATGATGACAGTAAAAAATCTGACATATTCAAACAAAATTTTGGGAAAATGTGTGAAACAGCAAAGGAACATCCCATGAAATTTCAAAGATTCATGAGAGTCAGTCATCTTTCAGAAAAATAAAATGAGACAGTATATAGGCAAAATAGCAAATCAAAATATGTGGTTTTAAAGTTTTCCCATAAGCACTTTTGAAACGAGAGTTATCAAGCTAAGAGTAGAGATTGAAATCGTAGAGGCCTTACCTCTCAAGTCACTCGTATTATTGATATCTCTCAGTGTTCGGGCTGTGGCTATCCGAACGTTGACGACCTTATCATTGCACAGGTTGAAGAGTTGCGGGAAGACAGTGGACGACAGACTATTCATGCCCGCTGCTCGATTTATGCAGAGCGGCGCAGCCAGGTTGGCGAACGTTTGTCGGTGCCTCCATTCAGTGCTCATTGCTAGGTGTTCCACGAACTTTTTCAGAACGTTCCCACACAGTTTCGAGTCATAGCTTAACACTTGCATTGATAGTTCGCACGCCTACAAAACAATTTTGAAAGGAAAAAATTGCGATTAGTAATTTAGGTAAGAATTTATTATTACAAGATATGTTCCCTTCATAAAATTCCACGCAACACTGAACATACAAAACACTTCTCAAATCAGCACATGCCAGAAAATTTAACGTTCAAGATTTAGATTAGGAAAGTAGATTATTTCTTGCTCAAAAGAAGAACCAAAATCAATACTGGGTGTATCAGAGAGAAGTAACAATCTGATTTGTTGAACACATCAACAGGTTTGGCAAAGCAAAATTGCATCTCTGCTGTACAACACGGGACTTGTAAACTTGTCCAGAAAAATCCAGGAGACAGAAAATTTTGCGATCGTAAAACTCACTAAAATTAGCATAAAACTCAAAGGACTCATGTGGAAATAGGTTCTCATTGTGAGCAGAAAGCTCATAAAAGCGAACAAGAAAATGCTGTTATTTCACGAGACAACTTGTTGGCGAAAGTGCAAAATCCTGAAATAGTGAAAAGAATAATACGGTCCTCACCAAGTTAATCGCTTTCTGTCGAACGGCAGCGATTTTGTCTTGTAGCACTAGGATGACAACTGGTAAGATAAAGGTAAGAATATCACAAGCTGAGAACAGAGATACGACCGGGACCAATTGGTCGACCAGTACTTCCCGCAACCTGAAGTCGGGACACAGGAAATCCGGAAACCGTGTCAGGAACGTCATTCTTGCCGACGAATTTAAACTCTGAAAGAGAAACAAGAACAAATAAACACCTGCTTACATGAATTAATTAGAATACAAAGCAAGATGCTAATACTTGATTATTGCCCCCATTTTCCGCCTGAATCAGACTCCGATAGAGAGTTTTAACCATCTCCTAGGTCACAATACATTTTGTTCGATACTTGATCATGGTTTCCGACATTTCTTCATTTTCTGATTACTGAACGTTTTTCGCTTACCCACGACTTACAATTTTCGAATTATCAGACTTCTTCTATCCCTTGCACAAAACTTTCCCTAAGATTGCTTCATTTTCATTAACGCTGACTTCCATGAAATGCTGTGCACTAAACTCCCTGACTTTTCTAGTTTTCCAGACTACTAGAAAATGCATTCAATGACAGGTTAAACGGTACACCCGATGAAAAATACAACATTTCAAAATAGAACATTTTAGAAAGAGAGAATTTACTGGAAAATTTTTCTCCTTTTAAATTAAACGTTATCTTTTCTGAAGAGACCAATGATTCATCCATTTTCTTGGCTTCAAGCATATTTCAAAGCTAACCAAAAAGAAAAAAATGAAAGAGCAAAAATTTTTAATAGTGAATGCCATGAGTTTTAGTCAAGGAAACATGCTGAGCTGCTGAAATGAAACATATACTTACACCTAGAAAGGAGGCCATATGGCTTAACGTGCCAATGCGGACTGGCTCGAGATCCTCCATGATGGACTTAAAAACTGGTAACAAATCCTCTTCCGTCTGCTCTTTGGACAGCATCAACGCCAACTCGTGGATGATCGTCGAAATCGCAGCACGTATCTTCCACTGAAATAGCGAGAACGTATCATTACAAGACTATTCTATAAATTTTTAAAAATTTCTGCACTGTAATCAGTATGCCATGAAACCCACAAAAACGGTAAAATCTTAATTTTGAAAACAATATGAAGAGCCATAATTCATGGTTTCATATGGAATTCTTGCATAATTTTTGAGTGTTGTATGCACAACCCCTGAAAAATCGTTGAAATTCATGGAAAATGAAAACATTTAACCCTTTCTGGTCCAATGTCGGATATATTCGCCGTGAAAAATAACGCGTTTATGTCCGATGTCGGATATAGTCGCCCAAAAGTTTAAACTTCTGGGCAGGCCCGATGTCGGGTATATTCGACTGCTCCAGCAAGTGGCGGCCTCTGGTGGATCCTTTGGAAACCACTGTCTTTGTTGACAACATTGCTGCTACCTTAACCTTGCTTCTCGCGGCGGTGGAAAACTGCCGCGGACCGGAAAGGGTTAATGGAAATTTCATTAAACATCTCGGGTTACACAGCGTAGCTCTAACGAAAAGTTAGCTCACCACCGTCATTACCAATTGCTTCACCCTTACAAAACAGATCGTTACCTGAAGAATCAATCACCTTAGCAGTGAACAGTTAATCTAAAAATATTGTTGTGACAATTCAAAAGGGGGGACGGAAATTTCAGCTCAGAACATAAAATGTTTAAAGTTCAGTGAATGAAAGGCTTCAGGTCTACAGAACTATGCTGATGGTTTGAAGGAGGAATGGAACTTACATCTTCATGAGCAGCGAGAAGGTTGAAGGCTGACTTAAGTAGATGCCAATTCTTCGGGCCAATGGTGAAAGCTACTGGCGGCAAGTATATTGCCAGCGAGTCGCATGCAGTTGTATTCATGGCCCAGCGCAATCGCTGCTGAGGCAGGTACGCTTTCACCAGCTTTGATGAGACCAACATTGAAAGTTCTTTGCTCTTTTCTGAAACAGGAGGAAGGAATCGTGAAGAAACACATTTGTGGTCTTTGAAGAGGCAAGGAACTGTAAAAGAAAGCGTTTCTTATTCTATCAGTACTGTTAAAGGAGGGTAGGGCTAGATCAGAGGGAGGATTTCTTCTATTTGTTCACATTATCAATTTTTTTATAGTAATATCAGCATCACTTGTAACAAAATAATAATTTTTCCTGTCAGGCCAAAAAAATAGCACAAGAAAACGGATAAGATTCGGTCACTTGATGCCCTTGCTGCACAGCAACATGATAAAAACAAAATGTTCTTTACGTCGTTCACTGTGATTGTCATGGTCTTAAAACTAACAAAATAGCGGTTACCAGCCCCACTTTTGACTCATGCCACCAACAAAATGAAGGTACAAATTGACAGTGAAAAAATTCGGATTTTTTGAACATGATAAACTACAGGTAAGAATATACATACCTTCATCGTATATTTCTAAAGGTGAGCCAACAGATATACTTGCTGACTTCAAGGGTTTCTTTGCTATACTTTTCCTTGTTTCTTCACTATTTAACCGATTCCAGAAATCTTCCATCTGAAAGAGAGAATTCGATTATAGTTAGAGCTTTCTTACATTTCTAAAAGGAAAAATAGTTCAGTAATCATTTGGGTAAAAAAGAACAAGCTACGATCTAGTTGACTTTTGACAGGCAATCATCTGTCATTGACAACACATCAGTAAGTTTTCATAGATTAAGTTTACTCATTCTGTCTGTGAGAATTATTCATGAAAAATAGATCTACGTACTTTATTGATGAGTAATTGAATAGCTTTGGTTACCCGAAGTTTTTTAATAATTAAGGGTGAGATAAATCATAGGATTTTCAATTAGAGCTACAGTCAATGCCACAAAAAGTACTGCCTGTGAGTATTGTTTAAAGGTTAATTCTCAAGTATGTGCGCTTGTTCGAAAAACTTTGCTGTTGTTGAAGCCGCGTCTAACTCTTAAACAAAAGACTGGGCTACTCATCTGCATTCGGTACCTCCTCAAAAGAAAAATTCAGTCCTTTCTCAATACCTCCATACGACAAAATTCGAAAATTTGAAATTCTCCCTCAAATTGCAACAATATCAATAATGAAAAAAATTCCGGACTTCCTTTAGAATTTCCGCACTTTTTCAGTACTTCCGGACCGCCCTTAAAAAATCAGCACTATTTCCAGACTTTCCGGACTTGTAGACACCCTGCATGAACTCAAAAACAATTTTAATATTACACGCAGCAGCTACTAGAGAAATTATTGCAGATGTATATTGAGGACTTACCGATCCAACATTGTCTGCCCACTTGTCTTTCATGATATCGATGACCTCTGGATGTACGAAGCAATCGTCGATGGGCTCACGCCAGTACTGGAAGCTCTTGAACTCTTCTTCATGCTGGATCAATTCATTGAAGCCAAAAGGATCTTCTATGTTCTTCGAGCTAATAGGATAAGAGAGTTGTAGAGACTCATTAGAGAATAATATACGAAAAAACTACGGATCGTGTTAGATACATCAATAGGTAAGATTGTATAGATATAAATTAATTCAACATGTAAACAAAGCCTCAAAAGTCAATTGAGTAATCAGGGTGTCTACCAGTTATAAAAAACAAAAATTGGAGACTTTAGGGGACTGTTAGGGGTGTTTTTTCAAGATCATCAGGGACTTTTTTCCTGAAGAGCGTTTTTTTAAGGGCGTTAAAATGCGTATTTCATACGACTAATTTTAAAAGTCATGTTGAACCGATGAAAACATATGAAAAAACAAGCAACACTACAGTTTTTTTCTTCCTGGTTATACTGCGCCACCGCGGCTGGCGGGGAAATTTGAAAATGCCGGTGTTAAGGACAATTTTAGTCATTTATTAGGGACAAGGAAATTTGGAACTTTCCGAGATTTCGGGACCGGTGGACACCCTGGTAATCTGCGGGAACATGTTTCTTGTGACAGATTGTTGATTCTTGTAAGTTAAAAAGTGAAATTGCTGGGAGTATTCTCATGTTCAGCTTTTCTTTTTGAATTCCTAAAATTTTTGTTTGACGTTGTGTTCTATTGCTTTGAACCAAACGACACATTGAATCATTATCCAATTCGATCTATTGGAGAAAAGTTCGTTATGATGCTAAGATTAAAATACGGAAACGATAACTAAGATTTGATCAAGCATCAAGCTGTCTGTCATAGCAAGTTGAGCACCAACATAATAAAAAAATTGCTTGAATGAAAGAAAAGCTTTACTTAAAACGAGAGAAAATAGGATCCTGTGCGTCTAAAGTTATGAATAGAATTTCATTGCTTTAAAAAAAAACTGTACAGGGAGAGCTGTTATGCGAGTCAAAATAAAAATTCTTACGGTGGCGATTCGTCGGAGTCCTTGGTCGAGAAACAAGAAGTGTTGTTCTCATGAAACCTCCAAATGCCGCCTTTGTTATAACTGGTCAGGCTGAAATTCATCTCAAATCTGCAATCAAAACACACAAACACAACCGTCAGTTCTAGGTATCACTTAACGAGTGATCTTGATAATCACAGAAGAGTACGATAGGAGTCTTCAATAAAAACCACTAGGAACGGACAAAAAATTGACGGATCTTTCAAGACCCTGGACACAATCTCAAGAAACAAATTATAGTAGAAAATGTAGAGATAAGAGTCTTCAATCAGAAATTTCTTAGATACATCATCCACAATCAAAGAGAGTCCCAAGCTAATAACATCACTTTGAACTGGGTCGGGTAAGACAGAGTATGAAAGAAAGTCGGGTGAAATAAAGAGAAAAATGAGGCGGTTTCACGATGAGAAGAAGAATTTAGAATTTTTTCTATCAGAGTTGTGTATCAGTTTGATATCATTGTAATCAAAGAGATTCCCACACTAACGTCATCATGAAAGGTTGAACTAAGGGTAAAAATCAGGTCAAGAAATTGTTTTTACGCAAATTACCGGTAACTATTAAGATGCTTATATCAGAAGTGTGTAAAAAGTACATTTCATGGTGAATCAAAGAGATTCCCTCACAAAATATCATCATTTAAAGCATGAGTCCAAGTTGAACAGTCTTCTAAGTTCTGGTTTACTATTACTGATACAGTAAAAATTCATCATGAAAAATCTTTCTTCAAAAAGAAAAAAAGAGGGGAAAAAAAATTGCTGGATTTGTGCCACTGCTGACCAAAGAGAAAGGGATACCGATACTTGAGTAAATATTAGACAATGTTTAATGATTAGATGTTAGAAATGGGCTTATATTATTGATTTAGTTCATTGCTGCAAAAAACTGGAGAACTACTTGTTTCAAAGTTTGCTGTACCTTAACAACCTGAAATATATTGGTTTATCTTACCCAAATTCGGAATTATTCAGGTACGAGAGCACAACATCACAGTTTTGATTCAGTTCCAACGAAGCTATTGGCGTATGGGCTAACGTTGTGATGAAAGGACAAAACGTGGGAAAGTAAGCAGCGAAGAGATTCATATTGTCAAGGGCATTCTGTCGGTCAAGCAGTCTGTAATAGACTGGCGCTAGAACTGTGATGCGGAGTTTCATTGGTAGTTTACTAGAGAGAGCCACAATGCCTAGCAGACACGGTGCACGTACTTTGCTGTCTTTATCGTGGCACAGTCGCAGGAACGCAGGTAGCTGGAAAAGACAAGAAAATTAATGAGTGATGGAGTGAAAATTACACTCTTACACATGGTGCGAATAAGAGTTTATAAATTGAGGCGATTTCCGAGATTCGTCGAGATAAACCAGCTTTGAACCAACCAAGGTCATTCTGTGTTATTGCTAAAGATCGATGGTACGAAAAGGACAGAAGGAGTGTAGAAAACTATTTTTCAATTTTTTCAGGCAGCTTTCACAAATTGCTAGCCACATAAGACTTTGCACTTCAATCCAGGGAGGAAAGTAGCATGCTCAATTTTCAAAAATTGATTTTATTTACTTAATTGAAGTATATAATGGGATAAACCATCAAGATAATTGATTAGTGATCAGCTCTAGGATTATTATTCTTTTTTTATTCTTCTGACTGACTTCCTTATAAATAGGAAACAAAAGCATAGGAGGTACTTGCAATCTTACCAGTTGTGTTTCGACAGCTGATTCACTAATAGCGTAGGCCATCTCATGAATTTTATAGACACATAACCTTCGGACTTCATAGGTTTTGTGGGTTGTAAACGAGATGTACCGGGGTAGGAAGTGTTTCTCTGCTATCTCTGAACTGAATATGCATGCGAGTTTTGTCATGAGCTGTGAAACAAAAAACCAACTCAACTTTGAGACAAGAGCAAAAAATAGGGAGCAGAACAAATAACAATTGTTGGAAACTGATTAAAATAAAAATAAAAATCAAACAATTGAAACGAATTAATGGCAAAGGAAGGAAAATTATACCTCATTGCTACTCACATTATGGTTAGACTGAGGTTTTCAACAACTTCAGCTTAGCATACATTAACTATGTTTATCAAACAATAAATATGTTCATAACAACAAGACAAAAACTTGAAAAGATTCTTACAGAAGCCCCAAATTGAGGGAATTGAATAAAATAAAATGCCCTTGGTAAATGTGACTCCATAACCGCCACATGCAGAATTTTCGACTGAATACGCAGGTGAGGCAGTGGTACTGCCGATACTGAATGCACAAGCCAAAGAACAGCCATTTAAAAATGCCCAGGTGTAAACTGTTGTTATTTTGAGCAAAATTTTGATTCGGATTGTGTACTTCTCTCGGTCATTATATTTGGACGGAGTTAAACAGAAAGGAGCCAAGCCACATTGGGATCGAACTGAGAAAAAGAGGTTTAAAGTTTAGCTCCTGCATAAGATTCAGTGCAAAAGATAAACTTCAAGTTCAATTTCTGCACAATTTGCTCCGACAAAAACTTCGAATTTTTGGCGATCGATAGTAGAGCAGTGGTTGAGTTCAAAACCACTCATAACTCAATTTTTTCAAAAATGTGGGTTGGTTCCTTTCTGCTTAACTCAGTCTATTAACAACTGCTGAGGTAGGATTTTCAGAACTGTTTCTGATAATTACTGAGGCAGTCAAAGAGTTACATTCATAGCAAGAACAAGATTGCCCAATCAGTGAGCTTTCATACGTTTCCTACCAAAATCTGTACACATATGTGACCCTGCCTGGCAAAAAAGACAACAAAAAAATGGCTACATGTCAATATCAAAGATAGCCACATTGCCAGCATTTTAAATCAAGTGCATCAAAGATACACACTTGGTGCTTAGTTAAAAGGTAGACCTGCAGGCAGTGTTATAATCCCTTGCAATAAAATAGGAACTCGCGGCCAAACAAACCAGTTATCATGTTTCGGCCAATGACGACACCTAAAAACTGGTCACTTTAATAGACTGGGCAGAAAACGTATGAAATGTTTGGAAACTACAGAAGCAGAGTAGTTTACCGAAGATAAATGTTAGCAATTACTTATCTAACAGTTGCGCTGTACAACTACTACAGCTGGTTGGAATGCCTATAAACTTAAACATATGTTATCAATTCAAAATTTACTCAAAGAGTCAACTAGAGTTCCATTTACAAAAGACACAAGGTAGTAAAGGCAATGAAAATTGTGTCAATTTTAGTAACAGAATTTGTAATATAAACTAGTGGAGCTTAGCAGTAAATTTTCTGGGACGTAAAATTCAAGACAAAACAAGACACCAGAGAAGTTCTTGTTTCACTATGTCTGAAATACTATAACACAACACCAGCTTCCCTGTATAAAATATTCACTGCCAGTGTTTAATATGGCCAGGGATGGCAGGTTCCACAAAAACTATATTTGTGATCTTCATTACAGACGAACTCTTCACTAAGTTTAATGAAACTTTTCATCACACAGGATTTCAGTCAACAAGCAAGCCACGAAGCTAGACTGAGAGTAATCTTGACACAAATTGGTCCATGTCATTTTCGGGAGTTAAGTAGCTTGTACATAGGCGAGTACAAAAAAAAACAGGACAGAGAACTACTTAAATGTTCCTTCGGCAAAAAGGTAATTTTTTAACAGACTTTTAATGATGAAAAGAAATACTGAAGATTTAATTTTACTGCGAGACTCCAGGAGCTTGGAATTTAATTATCTTCAGTAATTTCAGAACTTAATCAGTCGATATCTCTTAATTTTCCCCTAAAAAAGATACATTTTGAGTGGAATTTGAATTAGGTTGGTAGGACATATATCTGGCTGGAAGATTCAAATTACTTAAAATAACTTAAATCAAGATTATCTGACTAAAATGATTGGTTTAAATCAAGACCAACCCACACAGGTCAGACATTTCTGAGGATGAGTTTTGAGACTTTAAAATGCAACGCATTTTTAAAGCGAGTTGTACACTGGCTGCGGTCAGGAGAGGACTGAATGGAAGAGTAGATTGGAAAGAGATGCGCAGTGACAGACCTGTGTAGATTTGTCTTGGCCTAAAGGTGACAGCAACTTACAAATTAATGATGAGGGCTTCCAAAGAAGTCTAATTACAGGAAGCTAATACAAAGTACAAATCAGACTGGAGACAATGCACAGTGATATTAATTCAACAGGATGAGATGAGCATTAAATACAACCTTGGAAAATCAAAATTTACAGTTCCGCAGTATTCAGGTGTTCCTTCAATCCTACTCACCGAGCTGCATTCTCCAGTGACTAACCCAGTTACCTAATTGCAGCACATATTATAAAAACTGAACACTTCCACAAGCTGATGCAGTAGAATTTGAAATGATAATCGTTTCCAGAGTTAAGTTCTCTCATTTGACTTCACTTGGAAATATTCTAATGTTAACTGAATTTAAGGCAATCAATGGCATTTTACTCGTTAACAGACACGAGTCAGAGCCTCTTTCAGGGCAAAACTCAGTAAAAGTAATTTTTTAAAAAAAGAAGACTTAAGTTTCATTAGAAATTTCTAGACTAAGAGAAAAATGAAATAGGTTTCCGGACTTCGATACATATTCAAATTACTTTCTTTGATTTAAATCATCACTTCCTACTATTATGGTAGTTGACAAAATTGTTCGGCTAGCCTTAGATTACGGAGCCACAGAAAATTACTTTCTGAAAAAAGTCCAAATCACTAGTCAATTTCGTTTGAGGAAAGGTTCCTGAGAAGCAAAGTTGTTCTGATACCTGTTGGCGCTCATCAAAGCTGGCTGTGATATGATCAAAAACACATTTCACAGACACCTTGACGAGTGCTGCCAAGCTCATTATTACAGCGACTTCTTCGATTGACAATATCCCGGTCAGCCACAGCATCATTTCGGTCTTGTCTGGTAGTTTCAGTGCGCCCCAACACCATCGCTCATCAAAGCTGGCTGTGATATGATGGCAAAGAGACACATGACAGCCACTTTGTGAGAGACGAGTACGGGAGTCCACCCAGCAAGGCGGCGACATATGACAGGAACAAACTTCGGCTAGGCACCTTCTTGGAAGTCCCCAGGTTGGTGATGGTGGTGAAATGTCCCAACGTCCGGCACGTCAAAAATGGCTGTGATATGAACTGTGATATCAACACTTCACAACCATTTGACGAACGGGCGAAGAGAAACAGCGCTGGCAACTGGTCCTGATAAATCATTTACTGTGAACACCGCTTAAAGAATCTGCATATGAAAATTGATTACTCTGTAAAATAAAACAATGAGTCCCAGGGTTCATGACTGATTATCAAAATCAAGGAACTATTTCCAACTATTTCCAATACTTTTAAATATGTAGAAAATTGCCTTTAATACCTTCATGAATCCTATAAAATAGAAATTTAATCTTTCAGTACCTTTACTTTCTACTGAATACATGAAATGAAGCAAATCTGCAACATTCAGACAGCGTAATTTGGCATTTTGAAGGACTGTGCAAAAAGAAAACCAACAGTCGAAACTGTTGTAAAGAAAATCGCCGGATAAATTATGTAAAATTCATAGATTTTTTTTAAACAAAGAAAAAAAGCAACAGCTCAAACTGTTGTAAAAGAAATCACTGGATAAATTATGTAAAATTTATGGATTTTTTTGGAACACTGAGGTAATTTTCCAAAATTCAAGGACTTAGACAAACCAATACATTTACCATTTATTATTTACTATTTATTTAATTTTTTTTATTTTGTGGGACTTTCTTAGGAGTCTTGAACCCTAGGGCTACTGTTCCACTTCGTATCTAGGACAGTACCCAAGATAATGAAAATAAATCCTTAGAAGGTCGAATTTTAAAATATGAATGACTTGGTAAGTGAATCTTGTCCTTACTTGTCGAGGGCCTTCTCTGAAGCCAAACCTTACTTTTGTGGTCTTAACAACGAAAAGAAAAAACTCCTTGATAAGCAGCCAGACCAAAATTTAAAAATATCAGAGGTACAAAAAGATTCAATTCTATGAAGCTTTAAAAAATAACAAATACTGATAACAAATCAATAATTTCACACGATTAGTGAATGAGAGGGCTAGTTCCAGCATGCTCGAAAAAGAAGAAGTAGAAAAGGCACGTCACACCACCATTTGGCATAGTTAGGGTCAGAAGAAAAGAGATTGATAAAATACTCAACTAAAAAAAAACCCCCTATGAAGGTAGAGTTAATAACTTCATGGAATTGGTTACACAAATTTTGGTTCACCAAATAGAAGAAGGAGGCAAAATTACTGCCCTTCTTCATTTTTAATTCACTATTAGTCACACAGAACGTGTTGCACTTTAAGAAATACCAACTCATTAATAAGTTTCAAGCAATCTCTACATAAAGGAGAGAAAAAAGATGCTTTATGTTTCGGGAAAAGAAATTGTGGTACATGACTTTTTCCAGCTTTTGAAAAAAGTATGGTTATCCTGAGTCAGTGTCCGATTATACAATGAATAAATACAATTAACATAGTTTCCACTTAAATTATGATTACTGGTGCTACGGACAGGTAGTCAACATGCAAGCTAACTTCCTAGACAAAAAAGTTCAATAACACACAAAACCCTATTACATTTTAGTAATTTTAGTCATCATTATGTAGTTAATTACTGGTTGCAATTAGTCATGACTATGTTTGAAGCTAAATATGCAATGTTAAATATTCAAGCTGTGATGCCAAAAAAAAATGTGAAGTCACTCCTAGAGAATTGTTTAAGTTTTCAGAAAACTGTGTACAAATGTGCTCCCACAAAGGGACAATGAATCGGAGCAAGTATTGAACTGATTGAGTTGGTTCAAATTTTCAGTTATGGTGTTGAAAATTACAGTTTACCGAAAATTTTCATGCTAAAGAATTGCACAGTGAGAGTGAGTTTGGTGTTCACTTTGAATACAACTGAAGTGGGTTCATAGTTACAATCTAACACTTAATTTCTGACGAGAAAGACTCTCAAAACAGTATCCCGAAATGCATGGAATGAGTCTTAGGGAAGCGTCTACCGGTTGAAAAAGAGTGAATAAAATTAAAAAGAACGGGAGACTGCTGAATCTTTGTAAATCACGCTAAATTCTGAGGCTGAGTTCTAAATAAATACATTTGACAGGAAGCTCCATTGTAGGATATTAAATTTATGAATGAACATCAATTTGATAAAATAATGATGACTCGAATGTTGAACATGAGACACAACGGAACTGTAGTCAACATGAAGTAAGTTTACACACTTTAAGAGTGCCATTGAAGATCAGCTGTCTTCAGGTCAGCGTTGGAAGTACATACAAGATCCAAACCCGCCAATCTTCTGGGGTGGGTAAACAAATTTGATGAAGTCTCTACCAACATTCTTAGCATGTCAGGTTGAGAGGGAAAAGTAAATTCCTTTTAAGAGACTCGGCTTGCACAGAAAATGGTAATTTGATGTTGTCTCATCATGTAAAAAAAATAGAAAGGAAATCAGAGCTCTGAAGTGAGACACTGAATGTTTAAATCCTTGAGTCATAACATAAATGAAAAGGGATGGTAATGATAAAAAACAACAGCTTAGATTTGGGGTGATGTATCAGGGATACTTGACCTCAATTCTCTTAAAAATACGGTTCGTGCTTAATTTCTTCTTGAAGGGTTGAGTGGATGATGATTAGCGGTGATCCATAGGATGAAAGTTGATGAGATCACCTCAATTTCAGTTCATCAAAGTGGCTGTGATATGAGAAATAATCCAAACCATTCCACAACCATTTTGATGACCCAAACAGAGGTCTTTCGTAGATCCAGAAAAACGATGATTTCGGCCTTGGTCACTTCAATGTCGTAATGGACTCATGAATGGGACAAAATTTCACGGAGTGAGGCAGAACTTAGGTAGAGCAGACTGGATGAAGGGCTGGTGTTATTTTTTCTTTCTTTCTCAGGGTTGCGACAGATTTTAGGCAATAAAATTCCCTGGCACATTTTGGTAAAATTTCCAGACATTGTCAGATATGCTAGATGATAAGGAGGCCATAGTTCAGAATAGTTTTTAGGCAAAATTCGTTGTTCAAAACGTCAAACCCATTCCAGAAGGCAAATAAAGATGACTCAACAATTTTTCCCAGCCACTGTTTGTAATTTCCCCTCGTATTTCTAGGTTTTCCCTGACTTTGAAAACTTCCTGACAATTTCCTGTTTTCCCTGACGGTGACACCTCTGCTTTTTTCAATTTGAGGAGAAAACCCACTTATTTTTGATTCAAGCAGATTGCTCAGAAAGAACTAATTAACATTCTTTGAAATTTACATTTCTATTTTACTCTCATAGTTGCTGAATAATTAAATATGTAGAAAAAATAGCTCATATTAATCTTGTGAAATATACTGCAATCACATTTCTTTCAGTCTCAGAACATTGGCAAATTGTCTTCGAATAGCAGGTCCCAACGGTAGCAGCTCCACAGCAGGCAAGAACGATGCAGATGGCAGGAACGATGACTGAGTAACTAGCAGAGAGCAGTGCTCATCAAAGCTGGCTGTGATAGACGTGCAAAGTGCCCTATAACAGGCCTGCTTTGACGGCACCCCTCTCGGCCATACAAGCACTTCTGCGCAAACGAACAACACAGCACACAGAATGAAGGATCACAGACATAGTCGCATGAAAGACAAGGTAGTGAGACAAAATTATCGACACATCTCACTACCCATGTCTTTCACGCGAAATAAGTCACTTACAATTGCTCCACAACACGGACGGTTTGGACAAAAGATGCCATCAGAGCTAAAAGTTTGATGATTTCTTGAGGCTATTTTAAATTTCTTCTTTTACAAAAAATCTGGAGGGAAGAAAAATGTTTCCAGCTGGAATTATCTGGTAACATGATTTGATAGTATTAATAACTGATTACGAATTGCTGACTCTCTTTAATGTCTCCGTACTGGACTTTGGTAGCACAACTGTTTCCAAACTGAAAGCTAAACAACAGTGATTCTCACCTATTCCTGAATCTTTTCTTGTCATATGATAGAAAAGCTTAGGCATGATGATAAAGTTTTAATGTTACACAGGATTTCTCATGAAGAGCAGCTATTAGAGCCACCAGAACTGACATACGGGAGGATTGAATGGAGTTCTTGACAGTGAATAGAATTTATTACTTCTTAATGCTCTACCTTGTACTACTAGATTAAATGTAAGCTTTACTTTCTGGAACTCCGACTTAAAATCGTACAGAATCAGCAATCACACGGAGACATGTTGTACAATTTCAGAGTTATCTGAATGTTTACATAGACATGAACTTGAAAAAACAGTAAATAAGAATTTATTTAGATTGTCTGTTGAATCTTCAGCTTTTTACTGATCTGATCAGTGACATGAGTGCTCTAGGTCATCAAAAAAAACTTCCCATCTAAACATTTGGTACTCTTCTAAACTTACAATGATAGAGGAAGACAGAAGTTGGAATTTTTGTCTGACTGAATTCGAGGTTCTGACTATCATCAATGAGAATAAAAAGATGGGGAGCAGGGTACGTCACTCCGGGGTTTTATTCAAATGAGAACTAACAGATATTACAGATAACTATCAAAATTTGACCCTTTAAAAAATTAACTATTTTTTTGCACTTACTGAAGATCCATTAGACAATTAACAAATGAAATTTCAATTTAAAATTGATGGGTCTCAGACACTGACTGAGGGTATCAGAGATAGCTAATACTTTTGTAGAAGATGGTAGCTAAAAATGTGCAAAATGGAAGGGGAGGGGGATGCCAAATGGGTGAGCTTTGCACCTTACATAATACAGCAAGCTGAAAAAGAAGCTGATTAAGAAATTATCATCCAGAAATTGACAACGCAAAATTGAAAAGAGCCGGACGCCTTGATCATTCACCAATGTTAACAAATACACCTGAATCGCATGTTCAATGTCTGACAATGATAAAACTTTCAGCGGTGTTATAGCATAGTATAAACCAAGAAGTTTCAATTCTTTAGATCGATGCTTCGAAGCTTCAATAGAATTTTAATTTTGATGTAGAATTTGTTCACATTTGTTATGATGATAGATAATTATTTCAAGTTCTAAGTCCGCAGTAACAACTTTCCACAAATTTTTCTTCTTTCCCATACGTAACATTTAAGTTTGAGTCAAGTGAGATTAGGTGGTGAGGATTAAATACATTAATATTGAGACAAATATTTACAGCCTTCCATGTTAAAATGATTCACAATTCTTTAAATGAGGAGGAATCTATGTCACACTACTGGAAGACGTGGGCGAATTTCTGAAAGTGGATTAGTTCACTATTGAGAAGGACTGCGCCAACTGACACAGAAAAACGATTGCCAGAAGTCAAGAACTAAACTCAGCTGTTTCACGACTTCTGACCAATGCTTGCAACCACCATCCATTCTTCAACCGACCTCCTGCAGTGGGTTGAGAATCTCGGATGTGGTAGTAAATAACAGGTTGTAGGCAAAGCTGTGCCTGGAGGTTTCGTTGTAACAAAGGTTGGCCGAAAGCCAAAAATTCAGCCAAATCCTCCTGCAGAAATTCGCCTAAAAAGCTGCTTCTATTATGAACTAATGGGAGATTAATTTTCCTCTTTTTAGAGGGAAGGGGCTGCTTTTTAAGGCTCCTTCTATAATTTTAAAATTTACATTTTTAACCATCTTAAGCCCTAAGAAAAATTTCTTCTCACACCAGGCCTGGAAATTCTACAGCTTTTCTACTAATCTTCCAGTACTCAAAATCTTTCTAATTGATATGAGCGAGAAATCAACTTACTCTGATCACACCGAGCAGGTTATCTTCTTCTAATTTGCTTTGTGTTTCGGTATAGCATTCGACCCACCGATCCAACTTTTGGCAGAACATGACTGCAAATTGTTCTTTATCTATTTCCTTTGATGACTCATCGTCCAACACTTTTTTCAGGGTAACTACTGCCTCCGAGAGTTTCTGTCAAAATAAAACAGGACACTTGGTCAAAAATTGAAATGCACTTGAAAAATGACTTGCAGTTGTTAGGAACTTCAGTAATCTTTCAAACAACGAGGGCACTGATTTTGTAGAGTAAAAATTTCATGAGCTTGTTCTGGAAATCAGGCATGCATGACCGAGTAATTGATCAATTGTAGATAAGATAAAAACAATCATCAGTGCAATTATCAAATTCTGAAGAAGTTAATTTGAGTCTATTGCCTATTTTGAATAAATGCAATTGATTATGTAATTTCATACGTTATATTGTGCTTGCTACACACTCTTATCTGATTCATTTTGTGAAAAAAAAAAATTCAAAATGCACGTAAGGAGCTGAATTCTTAGAATTGAAAAATTGAACAATACTTTCTCTACCCTAGGGTAGTGAGAAAGTAACAAGTTTACTTTCTAACCAATTTTAGAGCAATGCCTATCACAAAAAAAGTACTTCTTTGCAGGAATATAATAAGACAATAGTTGGACATGGATGCACTGAGGAGTATCGATAGGATTTCCAATATTTCTTTATTTTCCAATTCGCTGATTTTTCCTGTCCATCAACAGCAAAAGGACAAATGAAGTTAAGCAATCACATCTGCAGTTGCAAAGAAAGGATTGAAGTTAGGCATACAAAATTATTCAGCAACATTACTTTATAGGCAAATGTTGCATCAAGCAACCGGAAAGCGGTTTTACAATATCGGATAAATGAAACTCGTAGAGAGGCTACAGACAAGACTCATCCCCTGACCAAGTAAAACTTCAAGGGAAACAGTGATTGAACATTTAAATCATAATTGCTATTGCTATTGGTTTCTTATGTTTAAAGGCGGCATACAGATTCTTTTTATACTTATATCATCATATCCAGCAGAAATGATGCCTTTTTAAGGAAAGTCTGCACAAACGCAACTTAGAGGTAGACATAATGTTTTGCGTCTACTGAGTGCTTCTGTCAAAATAGGAACTAAGTACTATTAGATACTTTGTTTGGTTTCCTTCTAAGATTTTTAAGGCTTTACTGCTAGATTTTGCCAAGACTTTCTGCTTCAGGCGGTAATTTTTCTGAAAAATTCTTTAATTCACTTATCTATTCTTTCCATGTAATAATGCGATCGGAAAGAAAAGATTGCGCAATGGGTGGATTCCAAAATCACTAGATGACATCCGTTAAAACATAAAACGGACTTGACAGTTTCTTCATTTCTTTTAACTTTTTGAGGTGAGACATAATCCGACAGATGATAATACTTAAAATCTCACAGCGAACTCACCCAGTCGGAATTGAAGAGGAAGTTGAGGAACGTAAGCGTGAGTTTGGGAAGCTGAGTTTTGAGGTTTGGATCGTGGCGGATTTTGGTCCACGCCTCGTCCAGAGACAGAACTATCACACTGAACCATTTGTCCTCCTCTTTCTCCTTCTTCTTGCCGTACAGCCAACACTGAGAAGTTACACTATCACTCCGCAGTTTTGCACCCACATCTGATCCATTACCGCAGCCACCTGATAACAAACAAAACCAAACTCGTTAGAAAAGATTTTACAGTCATATACATTCATCAATGGAGAATTGGCATACAAATTTATTATTGTTTCATCTGAAAACGATTGATTACACGGTATTTTTTATGATTTTTTTCTAATATGGGAAATACTATGAAGATAGATTTAAAAGTGAGAAAATGCACCGCCCAGTGACGTCGCGTCGTCTGGCGGCATTTCCCATTTAAACATTCTAGATAGCAAATGAAGGTGATTTAACAAATTTTCCCAGACAATTTCGTCGTTTTCTCTGACAACGGTGTCTACTAAAACAGGCTGGCCAAAAATCAGTACTTTTACAGTACTGTTTCAATACATTCCCAAGAAATTCAGTACCTCAACAGAAAAATTCAGTACTTTTTTAGTACCGCTATTCGACGAGACTCGAAAATTACAAAAATTTGAATTTCTCGCACATCAAATTGTGACAAAAATCACAACAAATAAAAAAAAAACCCCGGACCTTCTTGCGGAATTTCCGCACTTTTTCAGTACTCCCGGACCGTCCTTAAGAAAATCCGTGCTATTTCCGGACTTGTAGACACCCTGCGACACTTCCCGATTTTCCCTGACTTTTCAAAATTCCCCGACATTTCCCTGACTGTGGGCAACCCTGCGCTCATCGATGACGAGGGATTCGAAAACCGGAAAAAAAAATTCGACCACATTCAGTGACTCCGCAAAAACGCGACAAACCCCAAATAAGGGGGGGGGGGGGGGCCA